GCCTCAGGACGCAGGTTCTGCACGTCGAGACCCTGACCCCCCCGTGGCCTCAGGACGCAGGTTCTGCACGTCGAGACCCTGACCCCCCCCCTGGCCTCAGGACGCAGGTTCTGCACGTCGAGACCCTGACCCCCCCCCTGGCCTCAGGACGCAGGTTCTGCACGTCGAGACCCTGACCCCCCGTGGCCTCAGGACGCAGGTTCTGCACGTCGAGACCCTGACCCCCCCCCGTGGCCTCAGGACGCAGGTTCTGCACGTCGAGACCCTGCCGCCCCCCCCCCCAGTGGCCTCAGGACGCAGGTTCTGCACGTCGAGACCCTGACCCCCCCATGGCCTCAGGACGCAGGTTCTGCACGTTGAGACCCTGACCCCCCCCCCGCTGTGGCCTCAGGACGCAGGTTCTGCACATTGAGACCCTGCCCCCCCCGTGGCCTCAGGACGCAGGTTCTGCACGTCGAGACCCTGACCCCCCGTGGCCTCAGGACGCAGGTTCTGCATGTCGAGACCCTGACCCCCCCCTGGCCTCAGGACGCAGGTTCTGCACGTCGAGACCCTGCCCCCCCCCCCCCGTGGCCTCAGGACGCAGGTTCTGCACATTGAGACCCTGCCGCCCCCCATGGCCTCAGGATGCAGGTTCTGCACGTCGAGACCCTGACCCCCCGTGGCCTCAGGACACAGGTTCTGCACATTGAGACCCCGTGCCCTCCCCCTGCCCCCCCCCCGTGGCCTCAGGACGCAGGTTCTGCACATTGAGACCCTGCCCCCCCCGTGGCCTCAGGACGCAGGTTCTGCACGTCGAGACCCTGCCCCCCCCCCCGTGGCCTCAGGACGCAGGTTCTGCACATTGAGACCCTGCCGCCCCCCATGGCCTCAGGATGCAGGTTCTGCACATCGAGACCCGCGTGAGGGCAGGCGGCAGTCAGACCGCGTCTCCCTCCCCAGCTGTGGTGTGCTGTCTGCGGCGCTGGCTTCACAGCACGATGTCCACACTGTGGACACTGCCCGTGCCCAACCTGTCCTCCATCTGAACTCGGGGTGCTGTCGGGACCGGCACAGGCTGCGTCTAGTGTGTGGTCAGTGCCCCCTCCCGTTTCATGGATTTTATTACCCACTTTGGTAGTTGGCATGGTGATCGTGCCAGTGGCTCTTCTGTAGCGAAGAGGGCATTTAGGGTGACACAGCACGGGGCTCCATCGGAGATGCTCAGCTCATTAGCCACTTCCCCTAACGATGTTCCCACGGAGCCCTGGGGTGCCAGGAAGCAGAAGCCCACTGTCCACCGCACAGCTCCATCTTAGGAAATATTAACTGCCGGCAGTGTGTCTGTTGGTGGTGAAGCTGTTTGGGGAAGCACATGGGAGTGGGCTCAGTGGACGGCGTGGGTCTCCTCCACCCGGCAGACGGGCCAAGCAGCCTCGCCTGAGGGGGGCAGGTTGGTCGGCAGGGTGGAGGTCTGCAAGGCCCTGCGCATGCAGCCCAGAAGGGCAGAGCATCTGCATGGACAGCCCCACAGCCCTGGAGGAGGGGCTCCAGTCACATGGGTTCTGTTTTGCTTGTTTGTATTTGTGTTGGTCGTGGGGCCTGAACTCTGGGCCTGGGCACTGCCCCTCAGCTCTTCAGCTCAAGCCTAGCACTCTACCACTTGAGCCACAGCACCACTTTTGGTTTTCTGGTGGTTTATTGGAGATAAGAATCTCACGGAGGGCTGGGAATGTGGCTCAGCGGTAGAGTGCTCACCTTGCATGCATGAAACCCTGGGTTCGATTCCTCAGTGCCACATACACAGAAAAGGCCAGAAGTGAGTGGCCCTGTGGCTCAAGTGGTAGAGTGTTAGCCTGGAGCCAATGAAGCTCAGGGACAGTGCCCAGGCCTGAGTTCAAGCCCTAGGACTGGCAAAAAAAAAAAAAAAAATCTCACGGAGTTTCCTTCCCGGGCTGGCTTTGAACCGTGATCCTTAGATCTCAGCCTCCTGAGTAGCTAGGATGACAGGCGTGGGCCACCAACATCCAGCTCTGCACTGGTTCTCTCTCTCTCTCCCCCCCCTCTTCCTCCCTCTCCCTCCCTCCCTCCCTCTCTGTGTCAGTTGTGGGGCCTGAACTCTGGGCCTCGGCGCTGTCCCTCAGCTCTTCAGCTCAGAGCTAGTGCTCTACCACTTGAGCCACAGCGCCACTTCCAGTTTTTTCTGCTTATGTGGTGCTGAGGAATCGAACCCGGGGCCTCATGCATGCAAGGCAAGCGCTCTACCACTGAGCCACCTTCCCAGCCCCTCTCCACTGCTTCTTAATGAAGTACTTAGCGAAAGTGACAGTGAGCAGCCCCCGGGAAGCAGGGGCTGACTTGTGAGGCCGGGCTGGGCACCTCTCAGCGGTGGGCACCTCTCAGCGGCGGGCACCTCTCAGCGGTGGGTACCTGACGTGCCAGCTGCGGAAGGGCTTCCAGAGGAGTCTAGGTAGGTGTGGGCAGGTGCACCAAGGCAGGGGCTGAGGGGCTGTCGGGCAGTCTGTGGGCGGGACCAAGGCCACAGGAGCCTCTTGGCCTCCTTGGACACTGGGCCAGCTGTGGATGGGGAAGGAGAGGGCCAAGGGGGTTGGTGGGAGGTCAGGAGGAGGCTGGTGGTCTGGCTGCTTCAGGACGCATCGTTCCAGGAGTCAGAATGAAGCCTGCCATCCCCGGAATCAGCAGAGATGCCGCAGTGTGTGTGTGTGTGGGGGGGGGGGGGGTGCTCTGGTGCTGCTGAGTCTGTGGCTTTGATCTCTGCTCGTGCCGCCCCTCCAAGTCCAGCCTGGCCCTTGCGGCTGGCCCTGGCCTTGGGCAGCTGCAGAGGTGCTGAGCACTGGGTCCCCTCCCCCGTCACGCGCTCCCCTCCCCTCCCCTCCCCTCCCGGCGTCTTCCCGGTGGTTCAGGGCTTGAAAGGCAGCTGCTGCGGGAATGGAGATGGAGGGAATGGAGGCATCTGGACGCATTTGCCGGGGAGGGGTTAGGCTCCTGGCTGTGGGCTGGGGGGGGGGGGGCGGGGGCGGGCCCTCTCCAACTACCGACCTGGTTGGTGACGCAGCGCTGCGGGGCCTTGCTGCGGGGCCTTGCAGCACTGTGGGGCCGTGTGGGCCCGGCTGGGAGGGCTGCCCATGCCTGGCTGGGCTGGGAGGTGCGGGACGCCCCGCGGGGCCAGGGCTGTGGTGACAGTGACGGGCATCTGAGCAGGTGTGCATGGGGTCCAGCTGGGCTGCAGAAAGGGAGTGCCGGGTGCAGGGTGGGGGGTGGTGGAGAGGCGCTTGTGGGGCAGAGGGGCATGGAGAGGCTTGTGAGTTGGGGTACCCAGTGCACACAGGCGGGGGATGAGGCTTTGGCTGACCGTGAGGTCTGGGGCGGGGAGGCCGGTTGCGGTGTCCGGTGCTTGCAGGAACCGGGAGGGGGTGGGGGAGGGTCTGAGGACCGGCATGGGGGTGAAGCACCAGTCCCGCCAGCCCTGCTGTCTGCTCTGTCTGGCCTGGGGGCTGGGCCTGTGGGGCTCTAGCACAAGCCTCACAGGAGCCCACGGGGCGCCCGGCTCATCTCCCAGGGCTGCCCGTGCCCTGGAGGGAGGCTGGGGAGCAGCCGGCCTGGCCCCGTCCCCACACACAGACCTGCTCTTCCGTGCCCTGTGACTTGGGGCTGGCGGGCGGGGTCTTGAGCTGAGATCCCGTGTGCGCCGGGCGGCCGGGCCTGTCCTGTGTGGTGTCCGTGTCTCAGAGAGGCCAGGGCGCTCTGGGCTTCCAGAGGGGTGTGGCAGTGCCTGGAGGGAGCTGATTTGGAGCTTGGTGCACTGGCCGGCCCTGCCTGCGTCTCCAGTTCTGTGGTCAGCCCCCGCTGTGTGTTTAGCCGGCCGTTCCTCCGTGTCTGGCGTCCGGCCCCCTGCTGCTGGCCTCTGAGTGTGCAGTGCACACCTGTGCCGGAGGCAGAGCTTTGGCTGGGTGTGGAGAGGGTGGCTCAGTGGGCAGAGGTCAGGAGATGGCTGGCGGGGGTCGGGGAGCAGTTCACGGGGCTGTGGTCAGCCTTGGGTTTTCCCATTGCTCAGGGAAGGGGAAGGAAGGGCTGAGCCAGCGTCTCGGCTGACACTCGCGGTGTGGCTCCTGTCAGTCTGTCCTACAGTCTGGGGGCAGAGGTGATGCAGGGGTGGACGGCGTCCCGGGTTCCGCTCAGCCGGGCTGCAGATTTGCAGGCGAGCCAGGCCACTGCTATAGTGGCAATGGGCTGAGAAGCCAGGGTGTGAATGCAAGTGCGTTAGCATCCTTGGGATGGCCCCGCCTCCTGCCCTGGTCCTGGGCATCCTGAGACGGCCCCGCCTCCCGCCCTGGTCCTGGGCATCCTGAGGACGGGCCCGCCTCCTGCCCTGTTCCTGGGCATCCTGAGGACGGGCCCCGCCTCCCGCCCTGGTCCTGGGCATCCTGAGGACGGGCCCGCCTCCTGCCCTGTTCCTGGGCATCCTGAGGACGGGCCCCGCCTCCCGCCCTGGTCCTGAGGACGGCTGTCCTGGGGGACCCCCTCTTGTCATCCGGGCACGCTCCTTGCTGTCTGCCCCCGTCAAGAGCCTGCAGGCTGGCAGGGGCCACGCAGTGGCCCTGAGAAGCCGCATTGGGGCAGGGTGGATGCCCTGCCCTCCGGACTGTGCGGGAGGCTGTCTGACCTCTGGCCCTCGAGGGGCTGGGGCCGGTGGTGATGAGCGAGGGGCCCAAGCTCACCCCAGGACCCCACCATGAGCTGTGGGCTCCCGAGAGGGGCTCAGCCAATGTTGCTGAGGGGCTGGGCGGAGGGCAGCTTGGGCCTGTCTCGTCAGGGGGCAGCGAGGAGGGAGGCGGGGCCGGCCGGCCGGGCCCCTTCGCACAGTTGGTGAGGACGGCAGTGGGGGGTGGGGGTGGGGGAACCCTGCAGACCAGGAACTTCCACGGGACCCTCGTGACTTCTCCTTTGCAAAGAGAGGAACTCACCAGCCGCATTCTGCGCTTTCAGCCCGGCCATGAGAACCGGGAGAGACGAGGGGTCCAGCCTGCGGGCTTGTTTCCCAGAGTGCGGGGGGCCGTGCCGGGGAGTGTGGGTGCTCGGGACTGTGAGTGTGTGAGCATGTGTGTGTGTGTGCTGGGGAGAGTGGGTGCTCGGGACTGTGAGTGTATGAGCGTGTGTGTGTGTGTGCCAGGGAGAGTGGGTGCTCGGGACTGTGTGTGTGTGTGTGCGTGCGTGTGGGGAACGGGAGTGTGTGTGTGTGTGTGCCGGGGAGAGTGGGTGCTCGGGACTGTGAGCGTGTGTGTGTGTGTGCCGGGGAGTGTGGATGCCTGGGACTGTGTGTGCGTGTGGGGGACGGGAGTGTGTGTGTCTGCCGGGGAGAGTGGGTGCTCGGGACTGTGTGTGTGTGTGTGTGTGTGTGTGTGTGTGTGTGTGCCGGGGAGAGTGGGTGCTCGGGACTGTGAGTGTGTGTGTGTGTGTACCAGAGAGTGTGGGTGCTTGGGACTGTGAGTGTGTGCGTGCAGGGGACGGAAGTGTGTGTGTGTGTGTGTGTTGCCGGGGAATGTGGGTGCTCGGGACTCTGTGTGTGTGTCCAGAACTTCCGTCTCCTCTTCCCCTTTCTGCTCTGAGTGCCCCCTCCCCATGGTGTTTTCCAGAACACCAGACAGAGGAACAGCTGAAGCCGTGGAGGAGGGAGGGTCAGGATGGAGCCCGTGGCCCCGAGGAAAGCTGGCTCCGAGCAGGAGGAGGGCTTTGGGGTGCACCCCAGGAGGGCTGCAGACCTGGGCATGGTCCCCAACCTCCGTCGAAGCAACAGCAGCCTTTGCAGGAACAGACGGCTGCCCGGTGTGTTCAGCAGCGCCGAGAAGGTAAGCGTCTGCGAGACAGTCAGTGGTGAGAGGCCATGGCTCCCCACGGGCGGGCAGCCAGGCTCCCTGGGCGGAGGGTCCCCACCTCCACGGAGGGCCCACACCTCCACGCAGGGCCCACACCTCCACGCAGGGGCGGCCAGGCTCCCTGGGCGGAGGGTCCCCACCTCCACGGAGGGCCCACACCTCCACGCAGGGCCCACACCTCCACGCAGGGGCGGCCAGGCTCCCCGGGCAGAGGGTCCCCACCTCCACGGAGGGCCCACACCTCCACGCAGGGGCGGCCAGGCTCCCCGGGCAGAGGGTCCCCACCTCCACGGAGGGCCCACACCTCCACAGAGGGCCCACACCTCCACGGAGGGCCCACACCTCCACGGAGGGCCCACACCTCCACGGAGGGCCCACACCTCCACGCAGGGGCGGCCAGGCTCCCTGGGCAGAGGGTCCACACCTCCACGGAGGGCCCACACCTCCACGCAGGGGCGGCCAGGCTCCCCGGGCAGAGGGTCCCCACCTCCACGGAGGGCCCACACCTCCACGGAGGGCCCACACCTCCACGCAGGGGCGGCCAGGCTCCCTGGGCAGAGGGTCCACACCTCCACGGAGGGCCCACACCTCCACAGAGGGCCCACACCTCCACGGAGGGTCCACACCTCCACGGAGGGCCCACACCTCCACGCAGGGGCAGCCAGGCTCCCCGGGCAGAGGGTCCCCACCTCCACGGAGGGCCCACACCTCCACGGAGGGCCCACACCTCCACGCAGGGGCAGCCAGGCTCCCTGGGCAGAGGGTCCACACCTCCACGGAGGGTCCACACCTCCACAGAGGGCCCACACCTCCATGGAGGGCCCACACCTCCACGGAGGGCCCACACCTCCACGCAGGGGCAGCCAGGCTCCCCGGGTGGAGGGTCTGCCCATCACAAGGGCACCAGCCCAGAAATGTGCTTTGGGAGAGGACAGCTGGGGGACAAGTGGCTGCAGGGCACCCTTGCCGGTGTACCCAGGTGGCACCTGCGGGTGGGGCCCCTGGAAGGAGCATGGAGGCCCGTGCCGGCTAAGGGAAGGCGTGCACGCGCGCACACACACACACGTGTGCGCACACACACACATACACCCCCCACACATACACACCCCCACACGCACACACATACACATACCCCCGACACGCACACACACACACACCCCCCACACGCACGCACACACGCACACACACACGCACATGTGTGCACACACACCCCCCACGCACACACACATACACACACATGCACACACACACGCACACACAGCCCCCACACGCACACACACGCATACACATACACACGTGTGCGCACACACACGCACACACATATACCCCCACGCACCCCCCCACACGCACACACACATACACCCCCCACGCACACACACATACACACACGCACACACATACACCCCCCCACGCACACACATACACCCCCCCACGCACACACACACACACACGCACACACATACACCCCCACGCACACACACATACACACGCACACGCACACGCACACACACACACACACACACACACTGCACAGCGATGGACAGGTGGAGGCCCGGCCTCAGCCCTGGCCACCCTAGCAACTGGCATGAAGACACCTGAGTGTGCCCTGCCAGCTTCCCCCCTGCACGTGCACCCCCGCACCCCTGCACGTGTCGCCCTGCACCCCTGCACCCCCGCACGTGTCGCCCTGCACCCCTGCACCCCTGCACCCCTGCACGTGTACCCCCGCACCCCCGCACATGTCGCCCTGCACCCCTGCACCCCTGCACGTGCCCCTGCACCCCTGCACCCCTGCACCCCTGCAGTGCCCCCTGCACCCCTGCACCCCTGCACGTGCCTCCTGCACCCCTGCACCCCTGCACGTGCCCCCTGCACTCCTGCCCATGCCCCCTGCACCCCTGCACCCCTGCACTCCTGCCCATGCCCCCTGCACCCCTGCACGTGCCCCCTGCACCCCTGCACCCCTGCACGTGTCCCCCTGCACGTGCCCCCCCTGCACCCCTGCACGTGGCTCTCATGGGGGTACTGTGGCTGATCAACTGTGAGGGGCCAAGTACTTTCCAAGTGGACCCTTAGTCGGAAGGCCTGGTCTCCATGGCAGAGATCCTGCCTAGCAAATGCAGGGCTCTGGGTTCAAACCCTGGTGGTGTTTCCCACCAAGACGAGGGCCTAGAGGAGCTGAGTTCACAGACCTCCCCACTCCCAGCCTCCTGGGCAGCTGCTGGGGGCCTGGCCGTGTCCAGGGCGGCCTGTGTGCTCTTCGGGGTGGGTGGCTTTGCCAGCCTTGGGATCTCAAGGCACCTCCTTTACCCCCAGCAGGAAAACCTGACTTCATGGATCCCCGAGAACATCAAGAAGAAAGAATGCGTGTACTTTGTGGAGAGTTCCAAACTGTCGGATGCTGGGTATGCCGTGTGTTTCGTGTTGAAGGCCTCTGGCCTTTCCTTGCAGTCCTGGGAGGGGATGAATGAGCCTCAGGCCCTCGCTGTGCGGCCCGGAGGCCTCTGGGGTGGTGGGCAGTGCCCCTCCTGCATGCTGATGGACTCTGGGGTGGTGGGCAGTGCCCCTCCTGCATGCCGATGGACTCTGGGTGGTGGGCAGTGCCCCTCCTGCATGCCGATGGACTCTGGGCGCGGGGTGTGGCCGGGTCCAGGTCCCCGGAGGCCTGTGGGGCGGTGGGCAGTGCCCCTCCTGCATGCCGATGGACTCTGGGCGGTGGGCAGTGCCCCTCCTGCATGCCGATGGACTCTGGGCGGTGGGCAGTGCCCTTCCTGCATGCTAATGGACTCTGGGGTAGTGGGCAGTGCTCCTCCTGCATGCTGATGGACTCTGGGGTAGTGGGCAGTGCCCCTCCTGCATGCCGATGGACTCTGGGCGCGGGGTGTGGCCGGGTCCGGGTCCCCGGAGGCCTGTGGGACGGTGGGCAATGCCCCTCCTGCATGCCGATGGACTCCGGGCGCGGGGTTTGGCCGGGTCCCCGTGCGGCTGCCGTGTGTGGTGCTCTGCTCAGCGCACACCCAGCCCTGGGGTCCATGCTTCAGCTCCATGTCCTGTCAGGGGCTCCAGTCACTTCCTGCTCTGGGTCTGGCTGGAGAACACCCTGGAGATACAAGACAATCAATCTGAGACCATGGCTCAAAGAGAAGAGGGAAGGAGAGAGGGAGAGGGGGAAGAGAAGGAGAGAGAGCAAGGGGTAGAGGGGGCCAGAGGAGGGAAGAAAGAGGGGGAAGGAGAGGGGTAGGAGCGGAGCAGGGAGGGAGGGAGAGTGTGGAGACCAGGCAGGCACCCGCAGAATCGCGCAGGCAGATCTGGGCTGCCTTGCACCCCTGCGATGTTGGTCCTCCTTCCAAGGATGGAGGAATGGACAAAGCTCTCCAGCTCTCCTGCCGGTGAGTGGCGGAGAGAGCTCAGTTTGTTCTCCTAGCTGATCTGGGTCAGGTCTCATCGACTTCCAGATTGTTCTTTGTCTCATCTGTACCAGGTCTTCTTGGTCCTCTGTTACTAATAATAATAGGAATCTAAAAATATGGAGACTCCTGACCCAACCAGGTACAGAGAGTACAAGAGCTGCTCTCTTCTATCTCCTGGAGCCCCGCAGGGCGGCCGCGAGGCAGGGAGAGTGGGGCGGCCCCGAGGCAGGGAGAGCGGGGAGAGTGGGGAGGGAGAGCGGGGAGAGTGGGGGAGGGAGAGCGGGGAGAGTGGGGGAGGGAGAGCGGGGAGAGTGGGGAGGGAGAGCGGGGAGAGTGGGGAGGGAGAGTGGGGAGAGTGGGGAGGGAGAGCGGGGAGAGTGGGGAGGGAGAGCGGGGAGAGTGGGGGAGGGAGAGCGGGGAGAGTGGGGAGGGAGAGCGGGGAGAGTGGGGGAGGGAGAGCGGGGAGAGTGGGGGAGGGAGAGCGGGGAGAGTGGGGAGAGTGGGGGAGGGAGAGCGGGGAGAGTGGGGAGGGAGAGCGGGGAGAGTGGGGGAGGGAGAGCGGGGAGAGTGGGGGAGGGAGAGCGGGGAGAGTGGGGAGGGAGAGCGGGGAGAGTGGGGAGGGAGAGCGGGGAGAGTGGGCAGGGAGAGCGGGGAGAGTGGGGAGGGAGAGCGGGGAGAGTGGGCAGGGAGAGCGGGGAGAGTGGGGAGGGAGAGCGGGGAGAGTGGGGCAGGGAGAGCGGGGAGAGTGGGCAGGGAGAGCGGGGAGAGTGGGGGAGGGAGAGCGGGGAGAGTGGGGGAGGGAGAGCGGGGAGAGTGGGGAGGGAGAGCGGGGAGAGTGGGGAGGGAGAGCGGGGAGAGTGGGGCAGGGAGAGCGGGGAGAGTGGGGAGGGAGAGCGGGGAGAGTGGGGCAGGGAGAGCGGGGAGAGTGGGCAGGGAGAGCGGGGAGAGTGGGGGAGGGAGAGCGGGGAGAGTGGGCAGGGAGAGCGGGGAGAGTGGGGGAGGGAGAGCGGGGAGAGTGGGGGAGGGAGAGCGGGGAGAGTGGGGAGGGAGAGCGGGGAGAGTGGGGAGGGAGAGCGGGGAGAGTGGGGCAGGGAGAGCGGGGAGAGTGGGCAGGGAGAGCGGGGAGAGTGGGGGAGGGAGAGCGGGGAGAGTGGGCAGGGAGAGCGGGGAGAGTGGGGGAGGGAGAGCGGGGAGAGTGGGGGAGGGAGAGCGGGGAGAGTGGGGAGGGAGAGCGGGGAGAGTGGGGAGGGAGAGCGGGGAGAGTGGGGCAGGGAGAGCGGGGAGAGTGGGCAGGGAGAGCGGGGAGAGTGGGGGAGGGAGAGCGGGGAGAGTGGGCAGGGAGAGCGGGGAGAGTGGGGGAGGGAGAGCGGGGAGAGTGGGGGAGGGAGAGCGGGGAGAGTGGGGAGGGAGAGCGGGGAGAGTGGGGAGGGAGAGCGGGGAGAGTGGGGCAGGGAGAGCGGGGAGAGTGGGGGAGGGAGAGCGGGGAGAGTGGGGGAGGGAGAGCGGGGAGAGTGGGCAGGGAGAGCGGGGAGAGTGGGGGAGGGAGAGCGGGGAGAGTGGGGAGGGAGAGTGGGGAGAGTGGGGGAGGGAGAGCGGGGAGAGTGGGGCAGGGAGAGCGGGGAGAGTGGGCAGGGAGAGCGGGGAGAGTGGGGGGAGGGAGAGCGGGGAGAGTGGGGGAGGGAGAGCGGGGAGAGTGGGCAGGGAGAGCGGGGAGAGTAGGGGAGGGAGAGCGGGGAGAGTGGGGGAGGGAGAGCGGGGAGAGTGGGCAGGGAGAGCGGGGAGAGTGGGGGAGGGAGAGCGGGGAGAGTGGGGGAGGGAGAGCGGGGGAGAGTGGGGAGGGAGAGCGGGGAGAGTGGGGGAGGGAGAGCGGGGAGAGTGGGGCAGGGAGAGCGGGGAGAGTGGGCAGGGAGAGCGGGGAGAGTGGGGGAGGGAGAGCGGGGAGAGTGGGGGAGGGAGAGCGGGGAGAGTGGGGAGGGAGAGCGGGGAGAGTGGGGAGGGAGAGCGGGGAGAGTGGGGCAGGGAGAGCGGGGAGAGTGGGCAGGGAGAGCGGGGAGAGTGGGGGAGGGAGAGCGGGGAGAGTGGGGGAGGGAGAGCGGGGAGAGTGGGCAGGGAGAGCGGGGAGAGTGGGGGAGGGAGAGCGGGGAGAGTGGGCAGGGAGAGCGGGGAGAGTGGGGAGGGAGAGCGGGGGAGAGTGGGGAGGGAGAGCGGGGAGAGTGGGGGAGGGAGAGCGGGGAGAGTGGGGAGGGAGAGCGGGGAGAGTGGGGGAGGGAGAGCGGGGAGAGTGGGGGAGGGAGAGCGGGGAGAGTGGGGGAGGGGAGAGCGGGGAGAGTGGGGGAGGGAGAGCGGGGAGAGTGGGGAGGGAGAGCGGGGAGAGTGGGGGAGGGAGAGCGGGGAGAGTGGGGAGGGAGAGCGGGGAGAGTGGGGCGGGGAGAGCGGGGAGAGTGGGGAGGGAGAGCGGGGAGAGTGGGGCGGGGAGAGCGGGGAGAGTGGGGGAGGGAGAGCGGGGCGGCCGCGAGGCAGGGAGAGTGGGGGGCAAGAGAAGCTGTCCGGGGCGCAGAGGATGTGCGGACCCAGGCCCACATCTGCCCTACCCCCGGGGGCCGGGGGGCTGGGGGCTGTGCCCAGCTCTTTATTTGGAAATATTGCTAGACTCAAAGGACGTTCTGACTGTACAAGAACAAGTCCGCTGTCCTGTGGGTAGATCTTGTCGATGGCTGCCCTGGTGCCTACAGTGTAATGTCAAAGGTGGAAGTTCACGGGGATGAGACCGAGAGGTCTTCCTTTTAGAGAAGTGCAAGTTCAGGCTTGGTGTGCTGTGGTGTGTTGGCGTGTGTATCTGTGTGCATGTGTGTGACCGTCTTATTTTCACATGTAGAGAAGTGCAAGTTCAGGCTTGGTGTGCTGTGCTGTGTTGGCGCGTGTACACGTGTGTACATGTGTGTGCATGTGTGCATGTGTATGCACACGTGTGTGCATGTGTGTGACCGTCTTATTTTCACATGTAGAGAAGTGCAAGCTCAGGCTTGGTGTGCTGTGGTGTGTGGGCATGTGTACACGTGTGTTCATGTGCATACACGAGTGTGCATGTGTGCATACACATGTGTGCATGTATGTGACTGTCTTATTTTCACATGTAGAGAAGTGCAAGTTCAGGCTTGGTGTGCTGTGGTGTGTGGGCGTGTGTGTACACGTGCGTGCACATGTGTGTGCATGCTTGTGTACACACGTGTGCACGTGTGTGTGACTGTCTTGTTTTCACATGTGGGACACACAGCTGTGCTCCTGACTGAGCTCCCCGGTTTCCCCCTCTAATCCCTCCATCCTCACACGTCAGCCTCTCAAGTAGCGTGAGCCGTCGGAACCCTGCCGAGCGTATTTTCTTTCGTAGCTTTTTAAAGTGGCTGCTCTCAGTGTTAACGCTATAATCATACATAATGTACTCTACTGGTATTGACATTTTGCAAGTTTGAATGAAGTGTAGAAGACACGTTCCCTCCTTTTGCTTACCATCTCTCACTCAGCCACTTAAAACGTGCACTGAGAACCATGTTACACAGTGTTCCGCCATCAGCATGGTTTAAAAAACTCAAGGGATGGAGGCATGGCCCAGTAGTAGAGCGCCTGCCAAGAAAGCCAGCCAAGGAAGGGTAAGGCCCTGACTTCACACACAGGCGCTGGCAAGAACAATAGCGTTGTGCTTGCGCGTGGTCTTCTTCCACCTGCGCCCGCCTCCCGTCTGAAGCTCCGGAACATCCTCTTTGGTTTGGAGAACTCCCTTTAGCCTCTCCTCTGGCTGTCCCCACTGGCGACAAGTTGCCATAGCCCCGGGACGTGGGCTAGGAAGCCCTGTGTCTGAAGGAAGGTGCCAGATTTCTTTTCCAGCTTTAGCTTTGACAGTGTGGCTGTGAGGTGCTTGGTTGGGGTTTTCGGATCTGGATTTGTAGCTTGGATTTTCAGAGATCCAATGTGGCATGGGACACCTGGGCATTATCCCCTGCTCTTCCCTTTTCCTTCTGAGACTGATGTTGTGACCGTATGATCTTTTGGGACAGGCCTTCCAGGCCCAGAGGCTCTATACTTATTTACTTGGTCTATTCTCGCCCCGTGCCGTCCTCCTAGGAGGGTGGTGTGTGCGTGTGGCTACCCGCGGGAGCGGCACCTGGAGGAGGCCACCAGGCCCCACGCCTTCCAGGGCAAGGAGTGGGACCCCAAGAAGCACGTCCAGGAGATGCCCACGGACGCCTTCGGGGACATCGTCTTCACGGGCCTGGGCCAGAAGGCGGGGAAGGTCAGTCCTTTGCCCTGCCCTCTGCCGTGGCTGGTGCTGGCCCGTGGTGGCACGCGGTGGCGGATTTCCGAGCTGGGGGGAGAGGTGGGCAGCAGTCGGGTACACCGAGGGCCTGTGCTCAGGGAGGGGGTGGGCTGGCTGAGGGGTGGCCAGCATCGGGATGCAGGGACACTGCCTAGCCACCGCCCTGCCCCCGCCCAGCACAGGAGCCCAGGGTCTTCCAGAGAAGCCTCGCATCTCGTCGGGGACTTCATTTAGTCTGGGTGGATGTCGGAGTGGGCAGAGGGTCCAGGACCGGGGCTAACCTGGGGGAGGGGAGAGTGGGGGTGTGGGGAGGCAGAGAAGGGGTAGGGGACATGGGGGGACCCACAAGGAGGGCAGGGAGCCGGGGCTGTGGGTGGCTGCTGTGGGGACAGGCCTGAGCAGACTCCGGTGGCTGAGCCGAGCCCCGAGACCTGCACAGGGGCTCAGGGTGCAGACTGTGGGGAGACCTGGGCCAGCTGGGGGGAGGGCCGAGGGGGCAGCCAGGGGGGAGGGCCGAGGGGGCAGCCAGGAGGGAGGGTAGAGAGGGCAGCCAGGGAGGGAGGGCAGAGGGAGCAGCCCAGGGAGGGAGGGCAGAGGGGGCAGCCAGGAGGGAGGGCAGAGGGGGCAGCTGGGGGGAGGGCAGAGGGGGCAGCCAGGAGGGAGGGCAGAGGGGGCAGCTGGGGGGAGGGCAGAGGGGGCAGCCAGGAGGGAGGGCAGAGGGAGCAGCCCAGGGAGGGAGGGCAGAGGGGGCAGCCAGGAGGGAGGGCAGAGGGGGCAGCCAGGAGGGAGGGCAGAGGGGGCAGCCCAGGGAGGGAGGGCAGAGGGAGCAGCCCAGGGAGGGAGGGCAGAGGGGGCAGCCAGGAGGGAGGGCAGAGGGGGCAGCTGGGGGGAGGGCAGAGGGGGCAGCCAGGAGGGAGGGCAGAGGGGGCAGCCAGGAGGGAGGGCAGAGGGGGCAGCTGGGGGGAGGGCAGAGGGGGCAGCCAGGAGGGAGGGCCGAGGGGGCAGCCAGGAGGGGGGGGCAGAGGGGGCAGCCGGGGGGGAGGGCCGAGGGGGCAGCCGGGAGGGAGGGCAGAGGGGGCAGCCAGGAGGGAGGGCAGAGGGGGCAGCCAGGAGGGAGGGCAGAGGGGGCAGCCCAGGGAGGGAGGGCAGAGGGGGCAGCCAGGAGGGAGGACAGAGGGGGCAGCCAGGAGGGAGGGCAGAGGGGGCAGCCCAGGGAGGGAGGGCAGAGGGGGCAGCCAGGAGGGGGGGGCTGAGGGGGCAGCCGGGGGGGGAGGGCAGAGAGGGCAGCCAGGAGGGAGGGCAGAGGGGGCAGCCAGGAGGGGGGGGGCAGAGGGGGCAGCCAGGAGGGAGGGCAGAGGGGGCAGCCAGGGAGGGAGGGCAGAGGGAGCAGCCAGGAGGGAGGGCAGAGGGGGCAGCCAGGAGGGAGGGCAGAGGGGGCAGCCAGGAGGGAGGGAGGGCAGAGGGGGCAGCCAGGAGGGAGGGAGGGCAGAGGGGGCAGCCGGGGGGGAGGGCAGAGGGGGCAGCCGGGAGGGAGGGCAGAGGGGGCAGCCACGAGGGAGGGAGGTCAGAGGGGGCAGCCAGGAGGGAGGCCAGAGGGGGCAGCCAGGAGGGAGGGCAGAGGGAGCAGCCAGGAGGGAGGGAGGGCAGAGGGGGCAGCCGGGGGGGAGGGCAGAGGGGGCAGCCAGGAGGGAGGGCAGAGAGGGCAGCCAGGAGGGAGGGCAGAGGGGGCAGCCAGGAGGGAGGCCAGAGGGGGCAGCCAGGAGGGAGGGCAGAGGGAGCAGCCAGGAGGGAGGGAGGGCAGAGGGGGCAGCCGGGGGGGAGGGCAGAGGGGGCAGCCAGGAGGGAGGGCAGAGGGAGCAGCCAGGAGGGAGGGCAGAGGGGGCAGCCAGGAGGGAGGGCAGAGGGAGCAGCCAGGAGGGAGGGAGGGCAGAGGGGGCAGCCGGGGGGGAGGGCAGAGGGGGCAGCCAGGAGGGAGGGCAGAGAGGGCAGCCAGGAGGGAGGGCAGAGGGGGCAGCCAGGAGGGAGGCCAGAGGGGGCAGCCAGGAGGGAGGGCAGAGGGAGCAGCCAGGAGGGAGGGAGGGCAGAGGGGGCAGCCGGGGGGGAGGGCAGAGGGGGCAGCCAGGAGGGAGGGCAGAGGGAGCAGCCAGGAGGGAGGGAGGGCAGAGGGGGCAGCCAGGGAGGAGGGCAGAGGGGGCAGCCCCGGGGGGAGGGCAGAGGGGGCAGCCCGGGGGGGAGGGCAGAGGGGGCAGTCGGGAGGGAGGGCTGGAAAGCAGGAGGAGAGCAGGCAGACTAGAGAAAGCGGTAGCTGGTGAACCAGGGGGGGCAGTGTAGGGTCTGGGGTCCGGATGGAGAGCCAGCCGGGGCTGTAGGGTGTCTGAGGGGAGAGGAGAGGAGCTGGGGCAGCCGGTCTCGTGGGAAGAGTCCTTGCAGGGCCCCTTCCCTTCTTCTGAGGTCTGTGCCGGTGCCCTGACCACATTCCCTGCGGCCAGGGTGGGCTGAGTGTGAGCGCTGCCCCCCCACTGGCCCCCGCTGCCCGGCCCCCTACCCTTCACCACCGGTGCCCGGCCCCCTTCCCCCCCCCACTGCCCGGCCCCCTGCCCCCCCCCCCCCCGCTCCCTGCTGCCCGCCCCCCCCCCGCCCCGCTCTCCGCTGCCTGGGACACCCCCCCCCCCCCGCTGCCCGGCCCCCTCCTCCCCGCTCCCCGCTACCTGGCCCCACCCCCAACCTCCCCCCACTGCCCAGCCCCCTGCCATCCCCCCCTGCTGCCCGGCCCCTGCCCCCCACCCCCCGCTGCCCGGCCCCCCTGCCCCCCCATCCCTGCTGCCCGGCCCCCTGCCCCCCCACCCCTGCTGCCCGGCCCCCTGCCCCCACCCCCGCTGCCCGGCCCCCTGCCCCACACCCCCGCTGCCCGGCCCCCCCTGCCCCACACCCCCGCTGACCGGCCCCCTGCCCCCCCCCACCCCCTTTTCCCCATCCCCTGCTGCCCAGCCCCCTGACCCCCCCCACCCCTTTCCCCCCACCCCCTGCTGTCCGGCCCCCTGCCCCCACCCCCGCTGCCCAGCCCCCCTGCACCCACCCCTGTTGCCCAGCCCCCCTGCCCCCACCCCTGCTGCTGGCCCCTCCTCACGGCCCCCTGCCCCCACCCCCCGCTGCTGGCCCCTCCTCACGGCCCCCTGCCCCCACCCCCCGCTGCTGGCCCCTCCTCACGGCCCCCTGCCCCCCACCCCCGCTGCTGGCCCCTCCTCACGGCCCCCTGCCCCCACCCCCGCTGCTGGCCCCTCCTCACGGCCCCCTGCCCCCACCCCCGCTGCTGGCCCCTCCTCACGGCCCCCTGCCCCCACCCCCGCTGCTGGCCCCTCCTCACGGCCCCCCTGCCCCCACCCCCGCTGCTGGCCCCTCCTCACGGCCCCCTGCCCCCACCCCCGCTGCTGGCCTCTCCTCACGGCCCCCTGCCCCACCCCCACTGCTGGCCTCTCCTCACGGCCCCCTGCCCCCACCCCCGCTGCTGGCCTCTCCTCACGGCCCCCTGCCCCACCCCCACTGCTGGCCTCTCCTCACGGCCCTCGCGTCTCCGCAGTACGTGCGTGTCTCCCAGGACACGCCATCCAGCCTCATCTACCACCTCATGACCCAGCACTGGGGCCTGGACGACCCCAACCTCCTCATCTCAGTGACCGGAGGTGCCAAGAACTTCAACATGAAGCTCCGGCTGAAGAGCATCTTCCGGAGAGGCCTGGTCAAGGTGGCCCAGACCACAGGTAGGCACCCAGGACACGGGGAGGAGCCCGGGACACGGGGAGGAGCCCAGGACACGGGGAGGAGCCCGGGACATGGGGAGGAGCCCAGGACACGGGGAGGAGCCCGGGACATGGGGAGGAGCCCACCCCCTGTCTGCAGGCAGCAGGTTCAGGGTGGGCTGGGGCCTGGGCTGGGGCCTGGGCTGGGGCCTGGGCTGGGGGCCGGGCTGGGGCCTGGGCTGGGGCCTGGGCTGGGGCCTGGGCTGGGGACTGGAAAAGCCTGGCCAGCTCTTGCCACCTTTGGATACCCGCAACCCCTCCATCCTCCTCCAGCCTTAGTCCTGCACTTGCCAGCCTTCAGCACTGAGCAGCCCACCATGGGGCTGCCAGCCAGTCTGGGCTGCCAGTCATGGAGGGAGGGGTCCTGCCCACCTGAGGGGCGCCAGCCTCTGGGGTGACAAATCTCCCTTCAGGGAGGGCCAAGCGGGCCCAGGCCCATGGGAGCCTCACCACTTTGTGGGGAGTATGGTACCGGGTCCCCAAGGCCCCCTGGGGCCCTGATGTGGCCTGAGGACAGGCCGCCGCTCTGTAAGTCACGTGGTCCTGGGCCACACACCTCCCCCACCCTCGTCAGCCTTCCTCTGCGTGGTCGCGTGGTCTTCGTCTAATGTGGCTGACCGGCCCTCAGGAGTCCCTGGGCAGGGTTTATCTCATCCTGGCTGCCACTTCCGCCCCAAATCACTGCCTTAGAACAGGTTTTCTTTCTCCTGAATGCCAAGTTTCTAGGCACAGATTTCTGAGGTCTGGGAGGAAACAACTAGGCAGCAGGACAGGCTTTAGTCCTAGGCCAGGGGCCGTGGCCTGCCCGTGGGCTGGCCAGTCTGCTGAGGACCAGAGGCTCAGCCTGGGTGGACTCAGGGTGCCCAGGAATGACCCCTGCAGGGGTCGCTGTGGGCTGGATCCTGGACGTAGCACAGCCTCACCTGCTTTGGCTGCTGAGATGTGTGGGAAGCCCGGGCCGGAGGCGCCCGCGTTGGCTCGCACCGAGGGGCTCTGGGGCCGCCACGTGCGCGTCTCTCTCCCAGGGGCCTGGATCATCACCGGGGGTTCCCACGCGGGCGTGATGAAGCAGGTGGGCGAGGCGGTGCGGGACTTCAGCCTGAGCAGCAGCTACAAGGACGGGGGCGTCACCACCATCGGCGTGGCCACCTGGGGCACCATCCACAACCGGGAGGGCCTGGTCCACCCCACGGTGAGCGACCTGCCCGCTCCCGGGGAGGGCGACCGGGCAGGGCAGGGAGGGTGAAGGCCGTGGGGCTCCAGCACCATCTCCCTGCCCGTATGGGAGGAGATGGAGACTGTGCTAGCCTGGGCTTTAAAATCCTTCCCGTCTCCACCCACTGCTCAGCTCCCTGACACCAGTCTGTGCTCCTTCCTCTTGCTGTGAGATCACCACACACCTTAACGCATCAGAGATTCCTTGAATCACATTTCTGGGGGGACAGGGCTCCAAAATCAGTATCAGGTGGTGGCAGGGCCCCGCTTCCTCCAGAGGCTCTTTGGGAGCCTGCTTCCTGCCCTGCCAGCTCCTGGGCACTCCTGTCTGCACGGCGCTGGGCTTTGCCTCCGCGTGCGTGTCCCCTGCGCCCCTCCCGGGAGGACGCGTGCTGGGCCTGTCCCCGCAGATCAGGTTAAGCTTGTCGTGTGAGTGCCCTTCCTCGCACCCGCAAGGCCCCTTCTCCTCCTCCAAGCAAAGTGACGTGGGAAAGCCCGGCGTAGAGCCTGGCGTCTATTCACACGACAGACCTTCCCTCCCTAGCAGGGAGGCCCCGGGCCTGACTCCCCGGGCTGTCCGCAGGGTGGCTTTCCCGCTGAGTACCTGCTGGACGAGGAAGGCCAGGGGAACCTGACCTGCCTGGACAGCAACCACTCCCACTTCATCCTGGTGGACGACGGGACGCACGGCCAGTACGGGGTGGAGATCCCTCTGAGGACCAAGCTGGAGAAGTTCATATCAGAGCAGACGAAGGAACGCGGAGGTAAGGGGTCAGCGCAGCTGCCCCTCAGCGCCCCGCGCCTCCGCAGGGCTGTCAGCATCCTGACCGCAGGCTCGGGTTAGAAACCAGGATGGATGGCAGTCCACTCAGAGCTGGCCGGGCGTGGTAGCCTGCACCTGTGACCCCAGCCAGCTGGGAGAGGGAGCTGGGAGGATGCAGTTAAAATGTCATCAGAAAACAAGGTCAGGTGCTGGCGGCTCACGCCTGTAACCCCAGCTACTCAGGAGGCTGAGAACTGAGGACTGCAGGAAAGTCTGTGAGACTCATCTCTGTCTCAGCTACCAGCACAAAACAGGAAGTGGAGTTGTGGCTCAAAGCGGTAGAGTGCTAGCCTTGAGCCAAAGAAGCTCAGGACGGCGCCCAGGCCCAGAGTTCCAGCGAGTATGTTCTTGCTTGAGCTGGCCCCATGCGGATGGGCTGTGCCCTTGCTGTATGAGGTCAGCCGAGAGTTGCTACAGTGCTCTGCTGCGGGGAGAAGACGGGAACTAGGAGGCAGCTCTGGCCACCCGAGGCCCTCCCCTCCACAGCCCGCCCCTCCCTGTCCTCCCTCCCCTCCACAGCCCGCCCCTCCCTGTCCTCCCTCCCCTCCACAGCCCGCCCCTCCCTGTCCTCCCTCCCCTCCACAGCCCGCCCCTCCCTGTCCTCCCTCCCCTCCACAGCCCGCCCCTCCCTGTCCTCCCTCCCCTCCACAGCCCGCCCCTCCCTGTCCTCCCTCCCCTCCACAGCCCGCCCCTCCCTGTCCTCTAGTCCTCTCCTCTCCCACAGCTCCCCGACAGCCCCCCTCCCACAGCCACCCTCTCCCCTCCCATAGCCCCCTCCCCTCTCCCACAGCCCCCCACAGCCCCCTGCCCCTCCCACAGCCCCCCACAGCCCCTCCCCTTCCCACAGCCCCCTCCCCCTCCCACAGCCCCCACAGCCTCCCTCCCCCTCCCACAGCCCCCCCACAGCCTCCCTCCCCCTCCCACAGCCCCCCCACAGCCTCCCTCCCCCTCCCACAGCCCCCCCACAGCCCCCTCCCCCTCCCACAGCCCCCCCACAGCCCCCCTACCCCTTCCCAAGCCCCCTCCCTCGTTCCCAGGGAGGTGATGGGAGAGGGTGGGGCGCAGGTGAGCAGGATGGTTGTGACTTGGTGTCCTGTGTGCTCTCTTATGTCAGATGAGCAAGGTGTCCGCAGGTGGACACTGCACCCACCTCTACTGGCTGCTCCTTGTCTGCTGGGCAGCCCAGCAGTGCTTTATGTGGGCCCAGCCTGGTGGTGGTGGGGTGGGCAGTGGGTGGGTGGTAGTTAGGGTGGGCAGTGGGGTGGGCAGTGGGTGGGTGGTAGTTAGGATGGGCAGTGGGGATGTGGTAGTTAGGGTGGGCAGAGGGGTGGGCAGTGGGGGGGTGGTAGTTAGGGTGGGCAGTGGGTGGGTGGTAGGTGGTGGGGTGGTAGGTGGGGTGGGCAGTGGGATGGGCGGGCAGTGGGGTGGGCAGTGGGGTGGGTGGGCAATGGGGTGGGCAGTGGGGTGGGCAGTGGGATGGGTGGTAGGTAGGGTGGGTGGGCAGTGGGGTGGGCAGTGAGGTGGGCAGTGGGTGGGCAGTGGTGTGGGTGGTAGGTGGGGTGGGCGGGTAGTGGGGTAGGCAGTGGGGTGGGCAGTGGGGTGGGTGGTAGGTGGGCAGTGAGGTGGGCAGTGGGTGGGCAGTGGTGTGGGTGGTAGGTGGGGTGGGCGGGCAGTGGGGTGGGTGGTAGGTAGGGTGGGTGGGCAGTGGGGTGGGCAGTGGGGTGGGCAGTGGGTGGGCCGTGGTGTGGGTGGTAGGTGGGGTGGGTGGGCAGTGGGGTGGGCAGTGGGGTGGGCAGTGGGGTGGGTGGTAGGTGGGCAGTGGGGTGGGCAGTGGGGTGGGCAGTGGCAGCCCCGCCCTCACACCCACACCCCTGTCTCTGTGCGCTGCAGGCGTGGCCATCAAGATCCCCATTGTGTGCGTGGTGCTGGAGGGCGGCCCGGGCACGCTGCACGTGAGTATGGCTGGTGTCTGGTGGCCTGCTTGGGGCGCTTGCCGGCCCCTGCCGCGTGCTGGGGCTCTGGGGTGTGACCAAGCGCAGCCAGCCGCCTCCAGCGGTGGGGAGAGGAGCCAGGCCTGGCAGAGCCTTCCTGCTGGCGGGAGGAGCCCGGGCGTGGGGGGCTGGCGTGGGCCTCGTGGCTGTGCGGGTGGGAGTCAGGGGCCCGCGGGGTGCTGGGGGCGGGCACTCTGATCTCAGGACCCCCAGGGAGGCCTGTGGGACCTGTGCGTCCTTCCCACTCTGCATTTGGGCTGTCCAGCTGACCCGGGCAGCAGGCACTTGGGAGGTTTGCACGTCGGTGCCACACCGGCCTCGGGAGCCGCCGTGCGGTGTGTGGTCAGCCTCAGCCATGGGTGCTGGCCAGGTCTCCCAGCAGGAGGAGTCGCAGGCTTGCAGTACAGTGACAGTGTAGCAGGGTCCCTGATCTCCATAGGTCAGAACAGAGCCCGGGGGCCTCCTGGCTGGATGGGTCTGGCCCGGGACAGGCAGAGCCCCTTGGTACGGTCCTGCAGGCACAGCAGGCCGCACAGCCACCCAGGGCTGCCTCCAGCACCGGGCTGTCTTTCCTGCCAGCAGTGGGCTTCAAGCCCTTCCTGTGGCCCCGGGGCTCACCTTGTGGTCCTGCGGTCTCCGGGCCTCAGTCACGCGGCCCCACAGCTCCCCTGGGGCGGTGAGAATACCCTAGACCTCCGTGTCCCGGAAGCAGGGCTGGCAGCACCTGCGCCGTTACCCACTGCACCAGCCTGGGGCAGCCGCACTGCAGCGGCGTGCCGGGCTGAGCCGTCAGGACACTCGGCGAGGTGCCGGGCAGGGCTAGGCATCTTCCCGGCTCATGCACGGCCCCGTCCTGTCCCACAGACCATCTACAACGCCATCACCAACGGCACGCCCTGCGTGGTGGTGGAGGGCTCCGGCCGCGTGGCCGACGTCATCGCACAGGTGGCCAACCTGCCTGTCTCCCAGATCACCATCTCCCTGATCCAGCAGAAGCTCGGCGTGTTCTTCCAGGAGATGTTTGAGACCTTCACCGAGAGCAGTATTGTCGAGTGGACCAAAAAGGTGAGATGGACAGGCAGGCAGGCAGGCAGGCAGCGGGGCTCAGTGAGACCTGAGAAACTTCTGGAGACGTTGTTGGCCTGTTAGACTCCAGGGACCTGATGTGGGGGCCCCAGTGAGCCAAAGCCCCGGGTGGGCAGGAAGCCCGTCCTGGGGAGTCAGATCCCATGACCAGGCACCAGGGGAGGCTGGCATGGAATCTCTACTGTGGGGGCTGGGGTTGGTCTTGAACTTGAGAGCACTGTTCTGGGACAGTGGGGGCGGGGAAGCCTAGGGAGGAGCAGCAGGGGTTGAGCAGAGGATGAGTCTGCGCTGAGATGGGGGGGGAAGGGGTAGAGGAGCCTTTCCTGGCACAGCAGCACCGGTCAGGATGTGGTCCAGCCTTGTACCCTCCCTGGAGCCTGGGAAGTTCCAGAAGCGGGCTTCAGGTCCTGGTGAGCTCTGCAGGGCCCCACGGCCCCAGCTGCGCCCAGCCTGCGCCCTGGGCGCGGAGCCCCAGCCGCCCCAGCCTGCGCCCTGGGCGCGGAGCCCCAGCCGCCCCAGCCTGCGCCCTGGGCGCGGAGCCCCAGCCGCGCCCCAGCCTGCGCCCTGGGCGCGGAGCCCCAGCCGCCCCAGCCTGCGCCCTGGGCGCGGAGCCCCAGCCGTGCCCCAGTCTGCGCCCTGGGCGCGGAGCCCCAGCCGCCCCAGCCGCGCCCCAGCCTGCGCCCTGGGCGCGGAGCCCCAGCCGCGCCCCAGCCTGCGCCCTGGGCGCGGAGCCCCAGCCGTCCCAGCCTGCGCCCTGGGCGCGGAGCCCCAGCCGCGCCCCAGCCTGCGCCCTGGGCGCGGAGCCCCAGCCATCCCAGCCTGCGCCCTGGGCGCGGAGCCCCAGCCGCGCCCCAGCCTGCGCCCTGGTGCGGAGCTGCAGGGTTCTAAGGCATCTGCCCTCTGGCTCCCTCTGGCAGGGTGCTAGGGCCGGGGGAGGGGGAGGGGGGCAGGAGAGGAGGGGGACAGGGGCCTCCCTGATCTCCATCCCCCCACAAGAAGTTGCTGGCAAAGTAGTGAAAGTAGTGAGTGTCTAAACTTTTCCTACAGCTCCCCAGAGAACAGACTAGATCATTTGATGGTAAAAGCCATTCCCTCCCCGCTGTCTGCCAAGCTCGGAGCTCGGTGTGTGCTCCGTGAGTCACACGTGGACGGCGGTGAGCGTGGGCGGGCTTAGCCTCGGGTCTGTGGGCAGCCAGGGCCACCAGCCACAGACCACAGAGCCGGAGCTGACCACACTGGGCTCTGACTCACTGCCCAGGGTACAGAGAGGACCTGGCCCAGGACAGCAGGCAGGGCTGCGTGGCTGGGCGGTGGAGTGGCATGGTGGAGGGGCTCTCAGGGTGGTCTGTCCACCAGGGAGCCAGCCCTGACCTCAGGTCTGTGAGGCCACAGGCCCCACTCTGCCCCTAGGGGCCCTCTGCGTCCCCTCCGGCTGCTGGGCGGCCAGCCAGGCCCTCAGGCCGCTCCTAGTGAGGTGATAAATTATTCAGGCAATTCGGAGAACTGAATCTAATCTTGTAGTGTCCGAAAGTGCTTTTAAAATTGTTTTTTAAAAAAATTAAATCCATTCTCTGATGCACGTCAAAGTTGTGAGCGGTGTGTGCACGCCTCCCGGGCAGGCTGCCTGCTGCCGTCTGCTCCACACCCTGGTCAGCTCAGTCCCTGGCCAGCTCCCAGGACCGCGGCCATGCTCTGGGCCGGGCGAGGGTCAAGCCGCCGCCGGCGGGTGCCAGTCTCCCCTCGGGGTCTCCCCGGGGCCCCACGCAGGGCCGGCCGCACACACTCCCTGCGTTAGCACAGGCCTCCTGTGTGTAAGTGGGACAGGGCGTGTGTCAGCTGCAGCCGGCGTGGGCGCGCAGCGCCATGGCCTGCAGGTCGTGTGGGACAGCCACTGTAGTGTGCAAAGCAAGCAGGCAGGAGGGCTGCTGGAGGATGCGGGCTGAGGGAAGGGGCCCAGGACACTTCTGGTTGGTTTTGTTTTGTAGGAGTGTAATAACATAGGTAGATAGACAAATGGTAAGTGGGTAAGTGGGAGATGAACTTGTGAACTGGTAGATAGGCAGACACATACATGGATAGATAGATGTATACGTGGATAGATGATGGACGGGTAGATGATAACTAGATATGGGTAGGTGGATATACACATAAGTGGGTGGATGGGATGAATGAATAGCTAGAGATAGGTACACTGTGTAGACAGATATAGACACAGATGGGTAGAAAGCTAACTAGATAGACAGAAACATATAGATGGACAGATGTGTGGATGGGCAGCTGGATGGATGGATGATTGGCTAAATGAAGAGATAGGCAGGTGGATGACAGACAGCTGTGTGGTTGGGTGGATGGGTGGATGGATGTGTGGATGTGTGGATGGATAGATGAAGAGATAGATGGACAGACAGCTGTGTGGTTGGGTGGATGGGTGTGTGTGTGTGGATGTGTGTATGGGCAGGTGGGTAAACGGGGTGGATAGGTAGGTACAGGTAGGCGGCCGCACAGGTAGATGGGGAAGGCACAGAGAGAGAGGTGGATTTGGACAGGTAGCAGGTGATCAGGAGCAGCTGGGGTTCAGGCAGCCGGGCCAGAGGAGGAGCTCGCGTTGAGCCCAGCTGGGGGTCACCATCGAGGGGAAGACTGTGACACTTGAGCAGACCCCGCACAACGTGACGCGTTCGGTCCTTGCTGTCCGGGGTGGGCTGGGGGGAGGCCTGCCGCGCCATGGAGGCAGGGCCTGTGCCCCGGCTCTGGTGCCCGTGGAGGATTGGGTTCTGCGGGCCCTGAACTCGGCAGGCACTCGCTCGTCACTGGGGGATCTCACTCAGGAAATGTCATTTACAGATTCAAGATATCGTCCGGAGGCGGCAGCTGCTGACCGTCTTCCGGGAAGGGAAGGATGGCCAGCAGGACGTGGACGTGGCCATCCTGCAGGCCCTGCTGAAAGGTGAGGGCCAGGGAGGTGGGGGCCAGATCGCAGGCCCCCGGAGGAGGGCTCCAGCTGGCAGACTGAGTTCTCCCCTCAGTGAGCCATGCTGCCTCAGACTCTGCCAGCAAAGAGGCTCAACAAAGTCCCGCTAAGATGAGCTCAAGGGGTCAGACGTGTGGCTCAGGGGGTACAGCACCAGATAATGAGCAAAAGCATCAGGTACTGAGTTCAAATCCTGGTCTCTGAAAAAACAAAGAGATAAATGCAAGAAGTTCAGTGAAAGCAAACGCCAAAGATAAAGAATCCTGAAAAGAAGAGTCTTCAAGAGAGGGGAGACTTGATCTATGAGGCTCCTCCGGGCACCCGTGGCTCACACCTGTCATCCTAGCTACTCAGGAGGCTGAGATCTGAGGGTCGCAGTTCAAACCCAGTCCAAGCAGGAAAGTCCGTGAGACTCATCTCCAATGAATCACCAGAAACCAGAAGCAGCGCTGTGGCTCAATTGGTAGAGTGCTCGCCTTGAGTTGAAGAGCTGAGGGACAGCGCCCAGGCCCAGAGTTCAAGACCCATGACCAAAAGAAGAAAAAAAAAAAGTGAGGGGAAATCAGGACGTTCCCAGACACACAAGATCTGAGGGAGGTTGTGACCACTGGAGCTGTGCTGCCAGAAGTGCTCAAGGGAAAGGCTGGGCTGGGCTGTGGTAGAACACGGGCCGCGTGCCCAGGGCTCAGCGTGGCCAGCATGCCCAGAGCTCTGGCCTCAGCACCAAACCAACCATCAAATAGTCTTCCTCTGCCCATAAGCCCCTGAAACACACAAGGGGGTCCTGGAGGGGGTGGAGGGAAATGAAATGACTGGTCTAGAATCCAGCAATTCAAAGACACTTAAGAAATAAAGGTAAGCACATGCTCGTTGTAAAAGCTACTGTTGTAAACTGCTCTGTAGCTGCAAGTACAGTTTTAACCATTACTTAAGAAACAGGTACATTAAGATGACCAGGATAAGCAGGGCACAGACCATGTCTGTAATCGCAGCCACTTTGGAGGTAACGATTGGAGGTCCTGGTTCAAGGCCAGGCTGGGCAGAACAGTGGGACCCTATCTCAACCAGCAAGCAGATGCAATGGCTCATTCCTGTCTTTCTGGATACACGGGAGGTTTAGGTGGAGAGCCGTGGTCTGGGCTGGCCCTGGCAGAAATGCAAGACTTGAAAAGTATCTACGGCAAAAATGACTGAGGGTATTGCTGGGGTGGTAGAGCACCTGCCTAGCAAGCTCTAGGCATGGAATTCAGTCCCTGGTACTGCACACAAACAAAAACATCAATAGCAGAAACAGAACTGGAAAATCCACGCATCCATGGAAATGAAACAACATTCTGTTAGAACTGATACGTGGACTGGGGACAGCCACAAGGTGCACAGGCTGCCCTTCCATGCACCAGAAACGGATAGTCGAAGAGGAAAGCGTGGGAGCTCAGCCAGATTGACGATATGGAAAGGCTTGGTGAAACGCTGTCCTGAGAGCCTTGGGGTGGCGGCTGGAACGGAGGCAAGCCAAGCTCAGTAGTGCATGCCTGTAATCCCACTGTGCACAAGCAGGAGGAGTGCAGTTCTGGAGAGACCTGGGCAAACACACGAGGCCCTAGCAGATAAGCGAGCAAAGCATGGCTCAAGGGGTAGAGCACATGTCTTACAAACGTAAGGTCCTGAGTTCAAACCCCAGCACTGCTGAGGTAGAGGGTAAAGGTGGGATGGGGTGGGGTAGGGTGGGGAGAGAGAGATTGAGAGTCAATGGGGAGAAGTAAGTGTAAAATGCCTGCCTTTCCCGGCCTGTGCCTTCTTCAAAGGTGAGTTCTTTTCTCACCTGACCGTCACCGGTGCCGGGGCTGGGTGGGGCCGGGGTGTGGGGCCTGGTAGACACGGGGTGCCGGGGCTGGGTGGGGCCGGGGTGTGGGGCCTGGTAGACACGGGGTGCCGGGGCTGGGTGGGGCCGGGGTGTGGGGCCTGGTAGACACGGGGTGAGCCATGGCGGTGAGGGCCCCGGGGTGGAGTTTGTGCGGGGCCCGGCTCCCTGCCAGCCCAGGTGGGGCCCTGACCCCCGAGCTCCCCTGCAGCCTCGCGGAGCCAGGACCACTTTGGCCACGAGAACTGGGACCACCAGCTGAAGCTGGCGGTGGCGTGGAACCGCGTGGACATCGCCCGCAGCGAGATCTTCACGGACGAGTGGCAGTGGAAGGTGACTCCCTCCCACTGTAATCACGCGGGGGCGGCCCCGGCAGGCCCGGGCCCCTGCCTGGCCCCAGCCCCGGGTCCCCGGTGGGAGACCGGGCGCCCCGGAGGGGTGGTGCTGACCCCAGGTGATGGTCACCCCCTCAGCCCTCCGACCTGCACCCCACCATGACGGCCGCCCTCATCTCCAACAAGCCGGAGTTTGTGAAGCTGTTCCTGGAGAACGGGGTGCGGCTGAAGGAGTTCGTCACGTGGGACACGCTGCTCTACCTCTACGCCAACCTGGAGCCCTCCTGCCTGTTCCACTACAAGCTGCACAAGGTGCTGGCGGAGGAGCCGGAGCGGCCGGCCTGCGCGCCCCGCCCGGCCCGCGTGCACATGCACCACGTGGCCCAGGTGCTGCGGGAGCTGCTGGGGGACTCCACGCAGCCGCTGTACCCCCGGCCACGCCACGGGGACCGGCCGCGGCTCTCGCTGCCCGTGCCCCACATCAAGCTCAACGTGCGTGCTGGGCGTGGGCGGGCCGGGCGGGGTGTGGGCGGTTGTGCAGGGTGCTCACCAGGAGTTCTGTGTCCCGTGGGATCAGTGTCCCAGGAGGGGCCCCAGAATTCTAGCAGGGCAAGGCGGCCGGCCTGCCGGTGGCCGGGACCGGGTGGGACTTGGACTGCCGCCCGCAGGTGCAGGGCGTGAGCCTCCGGTCCCTCTACAAGCGCCCAGCCGGCCAGGTGGCCTTCACCATGGACCCCATCCGCGACCTCCTCATCTGGACCATCGTGCAGAGCCGGCGGGAGCTGGCGGGGATCATCTGGGCCCAGGTAACAGGACGGCTTCCCGGGACCACCGCTGTGGGTGGACCGGGGTCCTGGCCAGGGGGCCGCAGCCCACGGCAAGCGGGGCACGCATGGCTGTGGGAGGGGCAGCGGGGCCTGCGGCTAGGGAGGTCTTAGGGAGCACAGTGCTCAACTATCAGCAAGGAAAGCACTTGTAATTTTTTGTGCGGGCCCCGGGCTCGAAGTCAGGGCTGGGGCGCCGTCCCTGAGCTCGCTCGGGGCTCACTCTTCCACCTGAGCGCAGCTCCTCTTCCAGCTTTTTGGGTGGTTCGTGGGAGATGTTTCACGGAGGTTCCTGCCCAGGCTGGCTTCGAATGGTGATCCTCACACCGCAGCCTCCCGAGCAATAGCATGACAGGCACCTGACAGAAAAGCACTTTTGAAAATGATCTGCCGGCAACTCCCCAAGTTGCTTCCAGGCCCAGGCTCCTGAGCAGCTGACCCCTGTGCTCCCGTCCATCAGACAGGCCCCGCAGGCCAGCAGGGGGCAGGGAGGATGGGTGTGGCTTTGGTGGGCCTGGTGGGTCCCCCAGGTGCTCACCGGCCCTCGGTGCTCGCTCCAGAGCCAGGACTGCACTGCGGCCGCACTGGCGTGCAGCAAGATCCTGAAGGAGCTGTCGAAGGAGGAGGAGGACACGGACAGCTCCGAGGAGATGCTGGCGCTGGCCGAGGAATTTGAACACAGAGCCATCGGTGAGCTCTGCGGGCCCGGCGCGGCCCCCGCGCTCTCTCCCAGGGCTCAGCCGTGCGTCTCGAGCCTGGCTAGCCCGGGGTGTCCGCGGAGGGTCGGCCCTCGTCCCCGGCTGCTCCAGTGTGCATCTTCCCCCTCTGCCCAGGCGTCTTCACCGAGTGCTACCGGAAGGACGAGGAGAGGGCTCAGAAGCTGCTGGTCCGAGTGTCGGAGGCCTGGGGGAAGACCACCTGCCTGCAGCTGGCCCTGGAGGCCAAGGACATGAAGTTCGTGTCTCAGGGGGGCGTCCAGGTGATGTCCCCGGCCTGCGTCCACGGCCCGGTGCCAGGCCTGTGGCACACACCCACCAGCGAGGGGGCTGTGGCCGCCCGTGGGAACGGGTCCCGTAGCCTGAGGAGGGGCCGGGCAGGGGGCCGGGCCCTCTGACCCCAGATGGTGCCTGCCCCATGCTGGCCACCCAGGCCCGGGACCCGGTTTACTGTGAGGGAGGGGTGTGGGGCGTGGGGGGTGGGGGTGCCCATGGTCCTGAGGCTCCTCTGTCCACAGGCCTTCCTGACCAAGGTGTGGTGGGGTCAGCTGTGTGTGGACAATGGGCTGTGGCGGGTCATCCTGTGCATGCTGGCCTTCCCGCTCCTCTTCACGGGCCTTGTCTCCTTCAGGTGCGGGGCTCTACGGGAGCCTGGGGAGGCAGCCTCTCACGGGGATGGGTTACAGTCGGGCGGGGATCCCAGAACGGCAGACATCGCGGGGGGTGGGGGAGGGAGGTATGGGCCCTGGCTCCTGCCGGACACACCTCCACTCCAGCAGCCTGGGCATGGGGAGGGCACGGCCGGCGGCAGCTCTGGCCTGCCAGGGAGCAGGTGTCCAGGTGGAGGCAGAGGCCTGCTCCGCGGTGTGGAGCCTGGGCTGGATGGAGCCTCTTCCCACCAGAGGCCTGTGGTGGGCCACGCTGAACACCCAGGCCTGGCCTGGCCCTGCCTGCAGCCCCTTAGGTGCCTGTGGGGTTTGGTTGAGGGTCAGCCCTGGTTCTCTAGGCTGTGCGTGAAGTCTTGAGTGTCCAGCAGTGTCCGAGCGCTCACCGAGGGGGACGCAGCTGGGCGGGACGCAGGAGGTGGTTGAAGGTCGGGTTTTCTTTCTTTCTTTTTTTTTTGGGTCTGGTCGTGGGGCCTGAACTCTGGGCCTGGGCGCTGTCCCTCAGCTCTTCAGCTCAAGGCTAGCGCTCTACCACTTGAGCCACAGCGCCACTTCCAGCTTTTTTCTTTGTGCTTATGTGGTGCTGAGGAATCGAACCCAGGGCCTCAGGCATGCAAGGCAAGCGCTCTACCGCTGAGCCACCTTCCCAGCCCCTGAAGGTCCGGTTTTCCTGTGGTGCTGCTGTGTGCTCTGGCCTCCCCCTGCCGCTGTGGCGGGTGGACTGGCCGAGGCCGCCTGTGCTGGCCTCTCCTGTAACTGCCGTGGGGCCTCCAGGAGCCGGGCCGCGACCCCCAGCCGTTCACCCCTCCCATGGCGTCTGGGCCGGGCGCTGGGAGCCCTCGGGGGCCGCGGCCTGCGGACGTCGGGTCCGGCCGGTCACGGTCATCCCCTCCTCTGTCGCTGCCCCCAGGGAGAAGAGGCTGCAGGCCGTGGGCAGCCCGGCCCGCATCCGCGCCTTCTTCAACGCGCCGGTGGTCATTTTCCACCTGAACACCCTGTCCTACTTCGCCTTCCTCTGCCTGTTCGCCTACGTGCTCATGGTGGACTTCCAGCCCACACCCTCTAGGTGCGAGTGCCTCATCTATGTCTGGCTCTTCTCCCTGGTGTGCGAGGAGGCACGGCAGGTACCCTCCCCCGCCCCCGCCTGCCCCGGCCCTCCCCCCCCCCACCTGCTCCAGCCCTCCCACCTCAGCCCCCAGCTCCCCCCCCCCCGCCTGCCCCGGCCCTCCCACCTCGGCCCCCCGCCCCCCCCACCTGCCCCAGCCCTCCTACCCCCCCCGCCTGCCCCAGCCCTCCTACCCCCCCCGCCTGCCCCAGCCCTCCTACCCCCCCCCCGCCTGCCCCAGTCCTCCTACTCCCCCCCTGCCTGCCCCGGCCCTCCTACCTCGGCCCCCCGCCCCCCCCCCGCCTGCCCCAGCCCTCCTACCCCCCCCCCGCCTGCCCCGGCCCTCCCACCTCGGCCCCCCGCCCCCCCCACCTGCCCCAGCCCTCCTACCCCCCCGCCTGCCCCAGCCCTCCTACCCCCCCCCCCGCCTGCCCCAGCCCTCCTACCCCCCCGCCTGCCCCGGCCCTCCCACCTCGGCCCCCCGCCCCCCCCACCTGCCCCAGCCCTCCTACCCCCCCCCCCGCCTGCCCCAGCCCTCCTACCCCCCCGCCTGCCCCAGCCCTCCCACCTCGGCCCCCCGCCCCCCCCACCTGCCCCAGCCCTCCTACCCCCCCCCGCCTGCCCCAGCCCTCCTACCCCCCCCCGCCTGCCCCGGCCCTCCTACCTCGGCCCCCCGCCCCCCCCGCCTGCCCCAGCCCTCCTACCCCCCCCCCCCGCCTGCCCCGGCCCTCCCACCTTGGCCCCCCGCCCCCCCCACCTGCCCCAGCCCTCCTACCCCCCCCGCCTGCCCCAGCCCTCCTACTCCCCCCCCCGCCTGCCCCGGCCCTCCTACCCCTACCCCCCCCCGCCTGCCCCGGCCCTCCTACCCCTACCCCCCCCCGCCTGCCCCGGCCCTCCCACCCAGCCCCCAGCTCCCCCCCCCGCCTGCCCCGGCCCTCCCACCTCGGCCCCCCGCCCCCCCCACCTGCCCCAGCCCTCCCACCCCCCCCCCCGCCTGCCCCGGCCCTCCCACCCCGGCCCTGCCCAGCTCGGTCACCACCGTTACCCATCATCACCAGGCTTCATCTGGGCCCTGGGCAGGACCCCGGGCAGAGCCGGTGCCCCCACGGAAGCCCCCTCCCTGTCCTCTGCCCCCACAGACATTATTTCCCGCTTGAAACCTGATCTGAGCACCCAGGGCCCTTACCTCCCAGGAGCTCTGTGTGCTGTGTCCCTCCGCTCCGGTAGGGGGCAGTGTGTGTGGGCCCAAGAAGAGAGCCATGCCGCTCAGCCAGGGCAGTGGAGGGCAGGGCTGAAGGTGGGCACGCAGCCCTCCCCTGGGGTGGGGGGCAGCAAGGACCCGTGTCACTGCCAGGAAGCTCCCGGGAGCCTCAGTGCCCAGGGTTTCCACTGGGGGCCAGTCGCACGGACATGGCTGGCCATCCTGTGCTGACCTCGGTGTCTGGCACTTCAGAGGGGGAACCGCGTCCCTGTGGTGCTGTGTGTACACCAGCCGGGCTGATGTGTCCTTGGGGTGACAGCCTGCTGGCAAGCACCCCGGCTGCTCCTGGGGGCTAGGCGAGTTCCTCGCTGAGCTGGGTGGCCTCCTGGAGTTGGAACATGAGTGTACACAGGCTGACCATCTGTGGGTAGTGAGTTCCAGGAGGCGGAGGCCTGGGAGCGAGTGCGGGCTGGGTCCCCGCTGCTGCGGCCCTGAGGCCTCTCCTGGGGTCTGCTGCAGCCACACCCTGCGTCCCCAAGCTCAGCCGCCCCGGGGCAGCGCAGGCCAGGCACTTTCTCCTCCAGTCTGTCCCTGCACCCTGGAGGGGACCTGGCCCCACAGGTCCCCGCCTCCTCCCTCCCTGGGCTGAGCTGGGGCTTGGTTTGGGGAGTCGGGACGCCTGTCCTGCCGGCCGCCCCCACGGGGGCGCTGCGGTCCGCTCCTCTGGGCGCTGCCTGGGGATGAGGTGTGCTTCTGGCAGAAATCCTGGGGGAGCAGCTGGCAGGGGGGAGGGAGCCTCCCCAACACACATGTGTGTGCATGTGTGCAAGCCACTCACACATGCATATGAACACTGCACTAGCACACACGCACACCCAAACACGTTAGACCCAGGTACACACTTGTTCAAAATATGTAGACACATATTCACACTCACGTGCACAAGTGTACCACATACCATATGTATGCATACACTCATAGGAACACATCTTTGCACACATGTGCCCGTACACAGTCCACCCCCAGACTTGTACACACACGCACACGCCTGCACTCACAATGTACACACGAACACACACACACTTATTGGACAAGGGTCAGTGGGTCCCAGGAAGAGCTCCGGCAGGCGGCAGGCCTGGCTCTGCTCCGTGATCTCCGTGAACGTGGAGTCTATGCGGTCCTCTGTCCCCCTCCTCCTCCCTCCCCGAGTCTGTCCCAAGGGAGCTGGAGTGACCAGGGCCCCCTTACCCCCGATGTTGCTCTCAGTAGCTCTTCTATGACCCCGATGAGTGTGGGATCATGAAGATGGCGTCCTTGTACTTCAGCGACTTCTGGAACAAGCTGGACGCCGGTGCCATCCTGCTCTTCATAGCTGGGCTGACCTGCCGGTGAGTGGCTAGTGTGGCCGGGCTGTCTCTGGTGTGGCCTCTCCCTGCGTGGCGTTGTGTCCTGCGAGCTCGGGGCGGTTGCTGGCCTGGCCTCTCCCTGCGTGGCGTTGTGTCCTGCGAGCTCGAGGCTGTCTCTGGCGTGGCCTCTCCCTGCGTGGCGTTGTGTCCTGTGAGCTCGGGGCTGTCTCTGGCCTGGCCTCTCCCTGCGTGGCGTTGTGTCCTGTGAGCTCAGGGCTGTCGCTGGCCTGGCCTCTCCCTGCGTGGCGTTGTGTCCTGCGAGCTCGAGGCTGTCTCTGGCGTGGCCTCTCCCTGCGTGGCGTTGTGTCCTGTGAGCTCGGGGCTGTCTCTGGCCTGGCCTCTCCCTGCGTGGCACTGGGTCCTGCGAGCTCGGGGTGGTCGCTGGCCTGGCCTCTCCCTGCGTGGCACTGGGTCCTGCGAGCTCGGGGCTGTCTCTGGCCTGGCCTCTCCCTGCGTGGCACTGGGTCCTGCGAGCTCGGGGCTGTCTCTGGCGTGGCCTCTCCCTGTGTGCGTTGTGTCCTGTGAGCTCGGGGCTGTCTCTGGCCTGGCCTCTCCCTGCGTGGCACTGGGTCCTGTGAGCTCGGGGCTGTCTCTGGCCTGGCCTCTCCCTGCGTGGCGTTGTGTCCTGTGAGCTCGGGGCTGTCTCTGGCCTGGCCTCTCCCTGCGTGGCGTTGTGTCCTGCGAGCTCGGGGCGGTCAGGAGCTGAGGCCTCCCTGGACAAGTAGTCCCCTGTCCTGGGTGTGTGACTGTGACCTGGCTTCCCAGGACTGTTCAGGGCAGGCATGGCTCAGCACCTATGTGCAGGGACCCCAGGAGATCAGCTGTCTCTGCTCCCTCCCTGCTGGCCTGTCCCACTGGGACGGCCTCAAGACTCCCCTCTCATGGGGCCAGGGGGCTGTGGCCTGGCCGCTCCTGCCCAAGCCTGGGCTTCTGGACCTTTCTGAAGACAAGATTGTTCTCCACAGAGATACTCTTTTTTTTTCTTTTTTCTTTTGGTCATGGGGCTTGAACTCTGGACCTGGGTGCTGTCCCTCAGCAATTCAGACCAAGACAAGCCCTCTACCATTTGAGCCACAGGCCATGTCCAGTTTTCTGGTGGTTTATTGGAGCTAAGAGTCTCATGGACTCCTCCTCTCCCTCCCCTCCTCCCCCGCAGTGAACTCCGGGCCTTGGGCTGGACTAGGCAGTTGCTTTACCATTTGTTGTTTTTGTCAGTAGCAGTGTTTGAGATCAGACTTCTTATTTATGAAGCAGGAGCTCAACCACTTGGGCCATGCCCCAGCTCCATGGAGATTCTGCCCTTTGACCTCTCACCTTTAGCTTTTGACTCCAGAGCCCTCTGCCCCAGGGGCCAGCCTGGCCGGGCCTGGGCACTGGGGGCCATGCAGCCGCAGGGCGGCCAGCTGGAGCCCTGTCTCTGCCCTGCCCGGCGCCAGGCTCGTCCCCGCGACACTGTACCCGGGGCGCGTCATCCTCTCTCTGGACTTCATCATGTTCTGCCTCCGGCTCATGCACATTTTCACTGTCAGCAAGACGCTGGGGCCCAAGATCATCATCGTGAAGAGGATGGTATGTGGGCAGGCGGTGGGGCGGGGCCGGGCCTGGGCGGGCGGGGCCGGGCCTGGGCTGGGGGAGGTGGCCAAGGCTGGAGGTCGCTGCAGCCCACCCTGACCATGGGCTCCCTGGATGCTCCCTGGCCTGGGTCTCCTCGCACCCCTGCTGCTCAGGCCTGGCCACTGCTCAGCCAGAGTCCTTTCCTCCTGAGGTCACAGGGCCTGACCCCCTCCCGCCCCCTGGGGAGTCCTCCACAAGGGTGCTGACACACTGTCAGGTTACGGGGAGGTCCAGGGGGGCCCTTAGGAGTCCTGGCTTCCCACGTCCACCCCACGGGCAGCAGTGGCTTCCCATGTCACTGGGCGGGCGCCAGGCGCAGCTTCGTGCCTGACAGAGCCTGCTCCCCACAGATGAAGGACGTCTTCTTCTTCCTCTTCCTCCTGGCCGTGTGGGTGGTGTCCTTCGGGGTGGCCAAGCAGGCCATCCTCATCCACAACGAGAGCCGTGTGGACTGGATCTTCCGAGGGGTCGTGTACCACTCGTACCTCACTATCTTCGGGCAGATCCCGGCCTACATTGATGGTAGGAGCCGAGGTACCAGCGGGGCGGGGAGTCAGGGGAGAGGGGGAGGCCTCCAGGATGTTCACGTGGTCCTGGGCCGGGCAGCTCACGGACGACCTGGAGAGCTGGGCCTGGGACGGGTCGCAGAGCTGCCGCCTAGCAAAGGCGGGGCTGGAGGATGGCCGGCGAGGGGTGCAGGGTGTCTGCTGGTGGCTACAGCATCAGATGCCACCTGCTCCGCTCCGGCTCCCGCAGCGGTCAGAGATGACGTCCTTCTCCTCCCGTGGGGAGCGGCTTGCGCAGGTCACGGTTTTTTAAGTCTAAACATCACCCTTGACATGTACTCAACACGGCAAGGCCGGGCCTTCGTGTCTGCCATGCGCACGCAGGGCTCTGTGTCTGCTGGAACTTCATCCCTCTGGATGATGAAATCACATCCCTGGTGTGGATGGAGCCCAGGTTGTTTATTCATGAGTTGGTGAACATTTAGATTAGTTCCATTTTTAGCTACTATGAATAATTTTCACCAGGCACAAGTCATTTGTAAGTGTTGTGGGGATACGTGTTTGACTTTGGGGGAACTGCCAAGCTGTCTACACTAGAGGCCCTTCTATATCTCCTCTAGCAATGCCTGAGAATTCCCAGTTTTTTCACATTCTACAAACACTTGTTATTGTCTACCTTTTAAAGTATAGCCATCCTGGTGGGTGTAAAGTTGTATCTCATTGTGGGTTTTTTTCCTCCAGTCCTGGGGCTTGAACTCAGGGCCTGGGCACTGTCCCTGGACAGCGCTCCACCACTTGAGCCACGGCACCACTCCTGGCCTTTTCTCTGTATGTGGTACTGAGGAATGGAACCCAGGGCTTCATGCATGCTGGGCGAGCGCTCCTCCACCTTCCCAGCCCTTCGTGGTGGTTCTAATTTGCATTCCCCTGGGGTGCTGGGAGTGGAACCAGCCTCCCAAGTGCTCTCCCGAGCCTCAGCTCGGCTCCTGCTCAGCGTCTCTCTGGAGTAGCTTCGGTGGGAAGGGTCTAGCCCTGTCTTTCCCCACCCCCGCTTCCGTTATTATCATTTATTATTTTGAATTATAAGCACTTTCATACTCAGATGTCAGAATGTGATTTGTCAGTATTTTCTGTTATTCCTTGGGAAAAAAAAACTTGCTTTTGAAACAGAAACTTTAAAAAATCTTTTTGCCAGTCTTGGGGCTTAAACTTAGGTGTGTGGTGCTGTCCCTGAGCCTCTTTTGCTCAAGGCTAGCCAAAGCTCCACTGCTGGCTTTTTGGGTAGTTTCTTGGAGATAAGAGTCTCCTGGGCTTTCCTGCCCACAATCCTCAGATCTCAGCCTCCCGAACAGCTGGGATTACAGCAAGAGCCTCCAGTGCTTGGCTTTGATTTTTTCCTAAATTAAAACGTTTAAAATTTTTTCTTCTTTATTAAATTTATTCCACAGTCTTTCATTCTTTTGCTTTTAACGCAGCATTCATTCTTTTTATCACTTTAAATCCTTTTCCACCAAACGGAGCTCCCCAGAATCGGGGTGCCCACGAAGGCCATGATGGGGTGCCTGGACCGGTGCACACGTGTGTGCCAGCCCAGGCGCGTGTGCACGGAGGCCTCGAGCTGGCCTCGGCGTGGGCGGCCTGCTGGCCCCGAGGGTGCCGTGCCCAGGCCCGTGGGGCCCTTGGGTGCGGTGCTAGGGTCCAGCCCCCACCCATCTCATCCCTGCCATCACTGCACTCCTGCGTTAGGCGTGAATTTCAACATGGACCAGTGCAGCCCCAATGGCACGGACCCCTACAAGCCCAAGTGTCCGGAGAGCGACGCGGCGCGCCAGGCCCCCGCCTTCCCCCAGTGGCTGACGGTCATCCTGCTCTGCCTCTACCTGCTCTTCACCAACATCCTGCTGCTCAATCTCCTCATCGCCATGTTCAAGTGAGCCCCAGGCAGCGGCCGGTAGAGGGGAGAGAGGGGGGGCGGGCGGGGCTCACCAGGCCGCACCAGGCCCCCCCCCCCCCCCCCCCGTTCCTCTCAAGGGCCTCGTGGATGTGTGGGTGAGCCCTGGAGGCCCGTGGATACCGCGGGGATGTGGGGGGGCTGGTTCTCCCTGGCCCCTGCCCCATCTCCTGTTGGCTGGCATGCCGGCCTGTCCAAGGGGCGTTCCTAGGGACCCTCGTGACCTCCTGCTTTGCTGATGCTCTTTGGGCCTGCACATTTCTGTCTAGGCACTGCCGATCATGTGTCGCCTGTGTAGTTAGCATCACTGTCCTCACAGAGCTGTGTGCCTTGTCCCTTTAAGAGGGGACCAGTTTGAGAAACAGCGCAATGCCGAGTGTCCACACGCCGATCTGAAGGACTGTGGCTGTGGCACAAAGGAATTCTGCAGATGCAATTAAGGGTCCTCAGGGAGGGTTGTTGGGGGGGTCCTGATGTCAGCACAGGGTCGGAGGGGAGGTGGCAGGAGGGTGGCAGTCAGAGGTGATGGGGTGGAGTTTGGGGTCAGAGATGATGAGGCCTCTGGTCCTCCACGCCGTGCGTCTGGGGTCCTCCACGCTGTGTGTCTGGGGTCCTCCATGCCGTGCGTCTGGTCCTCCACGCCGTGCGTCTGGTCCTCCACGCTGTATGTCTGGTCCTCCACGCCGTGCGTCTGGTCCTCCACGCTGTGTGTCTGGGGTCCTCCACGCCGTGCGTCTGGTCCTCCACGCCGTGCGTCTGGGGTCCTCCACGCCGTGCGTCTGGTCCTCCACGCCGTGCGTCTGGGGTCCTCCACGCCGTGCGTCTGGGGTCCTCCACGCCGTGCGTCTGGTCCTCCACGCCGTGCGTCTGGTCCTCCACGCCGTGCGTCTGGTCCTCCACGCCGTGCGTCTGGTCCTCCACGCCGTGGTCCTCCACGCGTGCGTCTGGTCCTCCACGCCGTGCGTCTGGTCCTCCACGCCGTGCGTCTGGTCCTCCACGCCGTGCGTCTGGGGTCCTCCACGCCGTGCGTCTGGTCCTCCACGCCGTGCGTCTGGTCCTCCACGCCGTGCGTCTGGTCCTCCACGCCGTGCGTCTGGTCCTCCACGCCGTGCGTCTGGTCCTCCACAATGTGCGTCTGGTCCTCCACGCCGTGCGTCTGGTCCTCCACGCTGTGCGTCTGGTCCTCCACGCTGTGCGTCTGGTCCTCCACAATGTGCGTCTGGTCCACCACGCCGTGCGTCTGGTCCTCCACGCTGTGCGTCTGGTCCTCCACGCTGTGTGTCTGGGGTCCTCCACGCTGTGTGTCTGGGGTCCTCCACGCTGTGTGTCTGGTCCTTACGCTGTGTGTCTGGTCCTCCACGCCGGGTGTCTGGTCCTCCACGCCGTGCGTCTGGTCCTCCACGCCGTGCGTCTGGTCCTCCACGCCGTGCGTCTGGTCCTCCACGCCGTGCGTCTGGTCCTCCACACCGTGCGTCTGGTCCTCCACGCTGTGCGTCTGGTCCTCCACAATGTGTGTCTGGTCCTCCACGCTGTGCGTCTGGTCCTCCACGCTGTGCGTCTGGTCCTCCACGCTGTGCGTCTGGTCCTCCACAATGTGTGTCTGGTCCTCCACGCTGTGCGTCTGGTCCTCAACAATGTGCGTCTGGTCCTCCACGCCGTGCGTCTGGTCCTCCACGCCGTGCGTCTGGTCCTCCACGCCGTGCGTCTGGTCCTCCACGCCGTGCGTCTGGTCCTCCACGCTGTGTGTCTGGTCTGGTCCTCCACGCCGTGCGTCTGGTCCTCCACGCCGTGCGTCTGGTCCTCCACGCCGTGCGTCTGGTCCTCCACGCCGTGCGTCTGGTCCTCCACGCCGTGCGTCGGGTCCTCCACGCCGTGCGTCTGGTCCTCCACGCGTGCGTCTGGTCCTCCACGCCGTGCGTCTGGTCCTCCACGCCGTGCGTCTGGTCCTCCACGCCGTGCGTCTGGGGTCCTCCACGCCGTGCGTCTGGTCCTCCACGCCGTGCGTCTGGGGTCCTCCACGCCGTGCGTCTGGTCCTCCACGCCGTGCGTCTGGTCCTCCACGCCGTGCGTCTGGTCCTCCACGCCGTGCGTCTGGTCCTCCACGCCGTGCGTCTGGTCCTCCACAATGTGCGTCTGGTCCTCCACGCCGTGCGTCTGGTCCTCCACGCTGTGCGTCTGGTCCTCCACGCTGTGCGTCTGGTCCTCCACAATGTGCGTCTGGTCCTCCACGCCGTGCGTCTGGTCCTCCACGCTGTGCGTCTGGTCCTCCACGCTGTGTGTCTGGGGTCCTCCACGCTGTGTGTCTGGGGTCCTCCACGCTGTGTGTCTGGTCCTTACGCTGTGTGTCTGGTCCTCCACGCTGGGTGTCTGGTCCTCCACGCCGTGCGTCTGGTCCTCCACGCCGTGCGTCTGGTCCTCCACGCCGTGCGTCTGGTCCTCCACGCCGTGCGTCTGGTCCTCCACGCCGTGCGTCTGGTCCTCCACACCGTGCGTCTGGTCCTCCACGCTGTGTGTCTGGTCCTCCACAATGTGTGTCTGGTCCTCCACGCTGTGCGTCTGGTCCTCCACGCTGTGCGTCTGGTCCTCCACGCTGTGTGTCTGGTCCTCCACAATGTGTGTCTGGTCCTCCACGCTGTGCGTCTGGTCCTCAACAATGTGCGTCTGGTCCTCCATGCCGTGCGTCTGGTCCTCCACGCCGTGCGTCTGGTCCTCCACACCGTGCGTCTGGTCCTCCACTCTGTGCGTCTGGTCCTCCACGCCATGTGTCTGGTCCTCCACGCCGTGTGTCTGGTCCTCCACGCTGTGTGTCTGGGGTCCTCCACGCTGTGCGTCTGGTCCTCCACGCCGTGCGTCTGGTCCTCCACGCTGTGTGTCTGGTCCTCCACGCTGTGTGTCTGGTCCTCCACACCATGCGTCTGGGGTCCTCCACAATGTGTGTCTGGTCCTCCACTCTCTGTGTTTGGTCCTCCACACCGTGCGTCTGGGGTCCTCCATGCTGTGTGTCTGGTCCTCCACGCTGTGCGTCTGGTCCTCCACGCTGTGTGTCTGGTCCTCTACAATGTGTGTCTGGTCCTCCACGCTGTGTGTCTGGTGCTCCACGCTGTGTGTCTGGTCCTCCACGCCGTGTGTCTGGTCCTCCACACTGTGCGTCTGGTCCTCCCCGCTGTGCGTCTGGTCCTCCACGCTGTGTGTCTGGTCCTCCACGCTGTGCGTCTGGTCCTCCACGCTGTGCGTCTGGTCCTCCACAATGTGCGTCTGGTCCTCCACGCCGTGCGTCTGGTCCTCCACGCCGTGCGTCTGGTCCTCCACGCCGTGCGTCTGGTCCTCCACGCCGTGCGTCTGGTCCTCCACGCCGTGCGTCTGGTCCTCCACAATGTGCGTCTGGTCCTCCACAATGTGTGTCTGGTCCTCCACGCTGTGCGTCTGGTCCTCCACAATGTGCGTCTTGTCCTCCACGCTGTGCATCTGGTCCTCCACACCATGCGTCTGGTCCTCCACACCATGCGTCTGGGGTCCTCCACAATATGTGTCTGGTCCTTCACTCTCTGTGTCTGGTCCTCCACACCATACGTCTGGGGTCCTCCACGCTGTGTGTCTGGTCCTCCACGCTGTGCGTCTGGTCCTCCACGCTGTGCGTCTGGTCCTCCACGCCATGCGTCTGGTCCTCCACGCCGTGCGTCTGGTCCTCCACGCCGTGCGTCTGGTCCTCCACGCCGTGCGTCTGGTCCTCCACAATGTGCGTCTGGTCCTCCACGCCGTGCGTCTGGTCCTCCACGCCGTGCGTCTGGTCCTCCACGCCGTGCGTCTGGTCCTCCACGCCGTGCGTGTGGTCCTCCACGCCGTGCGTCTGGTCCTCCACGCCGTGCGTCTGGTCCTCCACGCCGTGCGTCTGGTCCTTCACAATGTGTGTCTGGTCCTCCACAATGTGCGTCTGGTCCTCCACGCTGTGCGTCTGGTCCTCCACAATGTGCGTCTGGTCCTCCACGCCGTGCGTCTGGTCCTCCACGCCGTGCGTCTGGTCCTCCACGCCGTGCGTCTGGTCCTTCACAATGTGCGTCTGGTCCTCCACAATGTGCGTCTGGTCCTCCACGCTGTGCGTCTGGTCCTCCACGCTGTGCGTCTGGTCCTCCACGCTGTGTGTCTGGTCCTCCACAATGTGCGTCTGGTCCTCCACGCTGTGCGTCTGGTCCTCCACAATGTGCGTCTGGTCCTCCACGCCGTGCATCTGGTCCTCCACGCCGTGCGTCTGGTCCTCCACGCCGTGCGTCTGGTCCTCCACGCTGTGTGTCTGGTCCTCCATGCTGTGCGTCTGGTCCTCCACGCCGTGTGTCTGGTCCTCCACGCTGTGTGTCTGGGGTCCTCCACGCTGTGCGTCTGGTCCTCCACGCCGTGCGTGTGGTCCTCCACGCTGTGCGTCTGGTCCTCCACGCTGTGTGTCTGGTCCTCCACACCATACGTCGGGGGTCCTCCACAATGTGTGTCTGGTCCTCCACTCTCTGTGTCTGGTCCTCCACACCATGCGTCTGGGGTCCTCCACGCTGTGTGGTCCTCCACGCTGTGTGTCTGGTCCTCCACGCTGTGCGTCTGGTCCTCCACGCTGTGTGTCTGGTCCTCCACGCTGTGTGTCTGGTCCTCCACGCTGTGTGTCTGGGGTCCTCCACGCTGTGTGTCTCGTCCTTACGCTGTGTGTCTGGTCCTCCACGCCGGGTGTCTGTTCCTCCACGCCGTGCGTCTGGTCCTCCACGCCGTGCGTCTGGTCCTCCACGCCGTGCGTCTGGTCCTCCACGCCGTGCGTCTGGTCCTCCACGCCGTGCGTCTGGTCCTTCACAATGTGCGTCTGGTCCTCCACGATGTGCGTCTGGTCCTCCACGCTGTGCGTCTGGTCCTCCACGCTGTGCGTCTGGTCCTCCACGCTGTGCGTCTGGTCCTCCACGCTGTGTGTCTGGTCCTCCACAATGTGCGTCTGGTCCTCCACGCTGTGCGTCTGGTCCTCCACAATGTGCGTCTGGTCCTCCACGCCGTGCATCTGGTCCTCCACGCCGTGCGTCTGGTCCTCCACGCCGTGCGTCTGGTCCTCCACGCTGTGTGTCTGGTCCTCCACGCTGTGCGTCTGGTCCTCCACGCCGTGTGTCTGGTCCTCCACGCTGTGTGTCTGGGGTCCTCCACGCTGTGCGTCTGGTCCTCCACGCCGTGCGTGTGGTCCTCCACGCTGTGCGTCTGGTCCTCCACGCTGTGTGTCTGGTCCTCCACACCATACGTCGGGGGTCCTCCACAATGTGTGTCTGGTCCTCCACTCTCTGTGTCTGGTCCTCCACACCATGCGTCTGGGGTCCTCCACGCTGTGTGTCTGGTCCTCCACGCTGTGTGTCTGGTCCTCCACGCTGTGCGTCTGGTCCTCCACGCTGTGTGTCTGGTCCTCCACGCTGTGTGTCTGGTCCTCCACGCTGTGTGTCTGGTCCTCCATGCTGTGTGTCTGGTCCTCCACACTGTGCGTCTGGTCCTCCCCGCTGTGTGTCTGGTCCTCCATGCTGTGTGTCTGGTCCTCCACACTGTGCGTCTGGTCCTCCACGCTGTGCGTCTGGTCCTCCACGCTGTGCGTCTGGTCCTCCACGCTGTGTGTCTGGTCCTCCACGCCGTGTGTCTGGTCCTCCACGCCGTGTGTCTGGTCCTCCACGCCGTGTGTCTGGTCCTCCATGCTGTGCGTCTGGTGTCTTCCACGCCATGTGTTGGGGTTCCTTCCTGTGTGGACTGCCCTGCACTCCTGGGGTTCTCCAGTTTCTTAGCCACAGGAGGGGGGTCCTACACACACCCTGATGCCCGCCTGCGGGTGTCCTGGCAGCTACACGTTCCAGGAGGTCCAGGAGCACACGGACCAGATCTGGAAGTTCCAGCGGCACGACCTGATTGAGGAGTACCATGGCCGGCCGCCCGCGCCGCCCCCCTTCATCCTGCTCAACCACCTGCAGCTGCTCATCAAGAGGCTGGTCCTGAAGATCCCGGCCAAGCGCCACAAGCAGCTCAGTGAGCCCCGAGTCCTGGCTGCAAGGGGGGGGGCAGCTGATCCCGGAGCCCCTGAGCCCTGAGTCCTGGCTGCAGGGGGTAGCTGATCCCAGAGCCCCTGAGTCCCGAGTCCTGTCTGCAGGGGTGGGGGGGAGCTCGTCCCGGAGCCCCAGCCCCCAGCAGCGGCCGAGCGCATGGTGCCGTGGAGCGTGACCCCTTGGATTGAGTGCGGGGACCGTCCCTGTCCCCTCCCTCAGGGGTGGGGCTCAGGGTCTCTGTGGCGCTCAGGTCCCCCCACCCCACAGAGAACAAGCTGGAGAAGAATGAGGAGGCGGCCCTGCTCTCGTGGGAGCTGTACCTGAAGGAGAACTACCTACAGAGCCAGCAGCAGCAGCAGCGCCAGCGGCCAGAGCAGCAGATGCAGGACATCAGCAACAAGTACGGACCGAGCGCTGGGGGGCGGGCACCGGGAGCCGGGCACCAGGGGGCGGGCACCGGGGGGTGGGCAGCTGGGCCAGGCAGTGGGTCCGGGCAGCGGGGACCGGGCAGCGGGGCCGGGCTGCAGGGCCGGGCACCAGGGGGCAGGCACCGGCAGGCGGGCACCAGGGGGCAGGAACCGGCGGGCAGGCACCGGGGGGCAGGCACCAGGGGGCAGGCACCAGGGGTCGGGCAGCGGGGCTGGCACCGGTAGGCGGGTAGCGGGGCCGGGCAGCAGGGCCAGGCAGTGGGGCCAGGCAGCGGGGGATGGGCAGCGGGGTCAGGCAGCGGGGGGCGGGCAATGAGGGGCAGGCAGCGGGGCCGGGCAGCGGGGCCGGGCAGCAGGGGGCGGGCAGCGGGGGGTGGGCAGTGGGGCCAGGCAGCGGGGGGCCGGGCAGCGGGGGGCGGGCAGTGGGGCCCAGGCAGGTAGCAGCAGCAGCGCCAGCAGCCAGAGCAGTAAATCCGGGACATCGGCGACAAGTACGGGCTGGGGGCCAGGGGCCGGGCAGCGGGGCCGGGCAGGCAGCACCACCGCACCGGCAGAGGCCCAGACCCTCCCACCCCACCCTCTGGGAGGAGCACAGATGCTAGCAAATGGGCCGCAGGCAGCAGAAGGGCTGGGCCCGCCAGCGAGCTCACCACGGCCACCGCCACCATCACCACAGTGATCCCTGGCCATTTCCAGGCCTGTGCCTCCCCACTGACCTGTGACCCCAGGGGGTCCTCTGGAACGCAGGGCCCTTCGTGCACAGGGTGGGCCTGGGGCCCGAGAGGGAGTCGTGGGGGGCTACAGGAGGGCTCAGCTCCTCGGGCAGCCCAGTGCGGTGGGAGCCACTCACACCCACAGAGCCCAGGAATGCCTTTAGGGAGAGGGAGCTGTGCATCTTGTCTGAGCTTCTGTGGGGTCTCTGAGCCCGCAGTCACATCCACACACCACGCCCCTCAGTTCCTCCCGCCCGCTTCCTGCCAGGGTGCAAGGCCAGGGTCTGGGGAAGAGCTCTCTGCTCTCTGCTCTCAGCCCCTCCCCACCAAGAGCGCCCTGGGCCCGGCTATCATGGCGTGTCTCACTGACGCAAAGCCCTACCGCTGTCTGAATCCAGGCTTCTCATCAAGGGGAGGGGCAGGAGGAGGGGCACAGTGCCACCTAGTTAAGGAAGTTCCTGTTCTGGGGTGGAAGAACCCGTTGGTGACAGAGAGGTGACTGTGATGGGTGAGGAGAGATGGTGGTGGTGGTGATGGTGATGATGGTGGTGATGATGATAGTGATGGTGGTGATGATGGTGATGATGATGATGGTGATGATGATGATGATGGGTGATGATGATGGTGGTGATGGTGGTGGTGATGATGGTGATGATGGTGATGATGATGGTGATGATGATGATGATGGGTGATGATGATGGTGATGATGATGATGGTGGTGATGGTGGTGGTGATGATGGTGATGGTGGTGATGATGGTGATGATGGTGGTGGTGATGATGGTGGTGATGGTGATGATGGTGATGGTGATGGTGATGATGGTGGTGGTGGTGGTGATGATGGTGATGGTGATGATGGTGATGGTAGTGATGGTGGTGGTGGTGATGGTGATGATGATGATGATGATGATGGTGATGATGATGATGGTGATGATGATGATGATGGTGATGATGATGATGGTGATGATGATGGTGATGATGGTGGTGGTGGTGGTGGTGGTGGTAATGGTGGTGGTGGTGATGGTGATAATGGTGGTGATGATGGTGGTGGTGGTGTTGGTGATGGTGATGATGATGATGGTGATGATGGTGGTGGTGGTGGTGGTGGTAATGGTGATAATGGTGGTGATGATGGTAGTGATGATGGTGGTGATGGTGGTGGTGGTGGTGGTGGTGGTGGTGGTGATGGTGGTGGTGGTGGTGGTGGTGATGATGGTGATGATGGTGGTGGTGGTGATGGTGGTGGTGGTGATGGTGATGATGATGGTGGTGATGGTGGTGGTGGTGGTGGTGGTGATGATGATGGTGGTGATGGTCATGGTGATGATGGTGATGATGGTGGTGGTGGTGGTAATGGTGGTGGTGGTAATGGTGATAATGGTGGTGATGATGGTGATGATGGTGGTGGTGGTGATGGTGGTGATGGTGGTGGTGGTGGTGGTGATGATGGTGATGGTGGTGATGGTGGACATGCTGGCAATGGTGGTGGTAAAGGTGATGGCAGGGGTGGTGGGGATGGTGAGACGTAGATCTAGCTTGATGGGAAGCTTCGTCTACCTCCCCTGCTGGGTGAGCTGAGCGCTGGTGCTGTTTGCTGGGGTCTGGGCATAGTGTCACCCAGTCATCCTTGACATGATGCGTATTTGGTACAGTCTTTCCCAGAGGCTTGCAGGGCTTGCTCCACGCTTCTCGTGGTCCTGCCTTCCCACCTTGTCCCAAGACCCAGCCGTGACCTTAGGAACGCCTGGTTAGTTGCAGGTTTTGTGGGCTGGTTGGGTGGTTGGTGGCTGTGTGTGTGTGTGTGTGTGTGTGTGTGTGTGTGTGTGTGTCCGTGTGTCCTCAGTGGAGATGTGAGAGCCACCAGAGCAGGGACAGAAGCCCACATGTCCCACGGGATTGTGGGAGCCTGGCTCCCAGCATCCTGGCAGACCCTCAGTAAATCCTGTGCTGCTCGGGAACTAAGGCGGGTCCCTGGCCTGTGACCCCGGGTGCACAGGTCTCCGCCATTCTTCTGATCGGATAACGGAAGAGGTGGTTCCCGGGATTCACGCAGTGTCTGATGGCCTCTTGTCTGTCTTGATGGACCACCTGGTCCTGCGTCATTTGACGGTGGGGTGTGGTGCCCAGGGCCACCCGGGAGAGGGGTGCCCACATGCCAGGTGCCCCTGCAGCAGGACGGGCCCCGCAGCTGGTGTCTGAACAGCGGATAGTCAGTGCGGCCGGCACGAGGGCTGACCGCTGCTGCGTGCCCAGCGCTCGCTGCTGACGAGCTCGCATCCTCATTGAATCCTGCCACCGAGAGGCCCTGCGCTCCATCTCGGGGGAAGGGCTCGCTGTCCCGCAGGCTGCCCAGCGAGCACTGGGCTGCCTGGACTTGAATGCCAGCCCCTTGGTGGTGTCCTGCTTAGGGAATCGGGCTGGCCACAGGAAATCCGCCCGAGTCCCTCCCTGGCTTCCCAAAGCTGTGCTGATCTGACGCCTGATCTTCAGCCTGCGGCCCAGAGGCACAGGCTCCCCGATTATGTCCCAAGGTTGAAACGCATAAAAGAAATACATCTTACCAAGGAAGTCCCTTCAGAATGTGTGTGCACCCGCGGTAACTGCTGTGAGGTCTGCTACATTTCAGAAGACCCAACTGGCGCGTCTGGGAGTCTATAAGAAAAATCACTGTGCTACCATGGACAAGATCTTCCAAAACCCAGGGCAGCAGGGGTGGTGAGAGAGGCCCTGGCCCTTCAGGTGACTGGGACCAGGCCAGGGCCTCTGCGGGGATGGAGGGCCGGGGAGGCCTCTGGGGAGCGACCCACCAGGCCAGGGGAGCCTCGCGGCGGAGCGGCTGCTGGCGGAGTGGCTGCTGGAGGAGCGGGGTTTCGTCCACAGGTGTGAACGCTTCCTGCATCTCTTAGTGACCAAATCACCGGGGTCCAAAGCTGTGGTAATAACTGCCCTTGCACACTCCAAGGCTGTCTGGGAAAGCAAGGCGGGGGCATTAACGTGGCTTCTGGGTTAAGCAGTGCGCGGCAGGGACAGTCAACCCTGGGTCTCCAATGCGGTCCTCTTCTTCCCTCCCCGCCTGGGTGGGTGCCATGTGCAGGGACACTCGCCAGCCACAGAAACACTCGCTCACGTCACACAGTAGTGTTGCAGGTGGACCTGGGGTGGGAAAAAGGAAAGAAAGAAAAGCAGAGCCAGGGGCTGCTCAGGCCACGTGCTGGCCGTGGAGCTGCCAGTGGGCAAGGTGGGGGGAATCCCCGCAGGTTAGCCAAGTAGAGCAAGCCCCGGTGCTCCCCAGCCAGACACCAGCGCCCGTGAGCTCCGGCCAGCTGCTCCTGAAGCAGCTTCGGTGCGGACAGAGGAGGTGGCCACCTGTGCGAATCCCCAGGAGCTGACCTTGCTGTGTGTGTCCCCGCGCCGCGGGGGCCTGGCTGGTGTCCGCTCCGTGGCTCACCTCTGGGGCCCTAGGTGGCAGGCATGTGTGTTAACCGCTTTCGTTAGGAGGAAGGCTGGCTCGCCGTTTTCCAAGGCCTGATGTCTACGGCGCTTCCCGGGCCCCAGCAGCCAGCCACAGCCAGCCACAGCCAGCTCAGCGGTGTTCTCTTTCAGAGTGGACACCATGGTGAGCCTGCTGGACATGGACCATGTGAAGAGGTCGGGCTCCATGGAGCAGAGACTGGTCGCCCTGGAGGAGCAGGTGGGATGGGGGTGGGGAGTGGGGGACGGGGCGGGAAAGGGCGCAGGGCGTGGGCTCCTTCTGCTGAATGACAGCGGAGTGTGGGAATGAGGGGGCACAGTAGAGGGGTCGGGGGTTCGGGGATCACTCTCCACCCCTTCAGGGGTCCTGTGGGCTGAGTGTGAGCTCCCCCTCACCCCGGGGGGCCGGAAGCCCAGGGCCCAGTGTCCTGGGGCTCTGCTTCCTCCAGGGCTCTGGGGCAGGACCCCCGGGTCCCCAGCATGTGGCCGCCTCACTCTGGTCTCCCTCTCATGACCCTCTTCCGTGCGTGGGTCCCAGTCTTGAGAGGCTGTAAGTCTTGGACGGGGGACCTGCTTTAATGCACTGAAACCTCATCTTGGCTCATGGCATCTGCCAAGACTATTTTCCATGTAGGTTCCCATTGCGATGCTCCCAGAGGGCATAGTGTTTGGGGGACCCTGCATCCCGCACAGGGGTGCTCACAGACTGTCCGGGACCGGGAGAGGTGCGGTCTCCGGAGTCGGGGAGGGCTCCCGAAGGCGGCTGCTGAGCAGGCTGGCCGGGCAGCACAGGGGCGCAGCCTGCTTCCCCCGGGGTCCCCTGGGGTCTGTGCCTCATGGATGCCCCCTTGACACAGAGCAGTGAGTTGTTCTGGGCTGTACTGAGCACGGACAGCGCCCGCGCTCCCCGCAGCTGGGAGCGGGGTGTGGGGGCCCCGGGGCCTGGGCCTGCCCGGCCTGGAGGGGCGGTAGGTCAGGAGATGTGGACGTGGGTGCCAGGCGCGTCCTCCCGGGACATGCTTTCCAGGTGACCCAGACCGCCCGGGCCCTGCAGTGGATCGTGACCTCACTCAAGGACGCTGGCTTTGGCGCGGCAGTGGAGGCTCCCACTCTGGGTGAGCGTGTGCCTGGGCCGTTGGAGGGTCTTGTGAGTAAGGCCTTGCCTGTGGGGCCGAGCCTGCTACACCTGTGGGGGCCGAGTCCCCCCGCCACCCGCCCCACCCCACCCCAGACCTCATCCCAGACCCTGCCCCCAGACCCCGCCCCCAGACCCCGCCCCCAGACCCCGCCCCCAGAACTCATCCGAGACCCGCCCCCAGCCCCGCCCCCAGCCCCGCCCCCAGACCCCGCCCCCAGACCCCGCCCCCAGACCCCGCCCCCAGACCCCGCCCCCAGACCCCGCTCCCAGACCTGCCCCCAGACCCGCCCCCAGACCTCATCCCAGACCCGCCCCCAGACCCCGCCCCCAGACCCCGCCCCCAGACCCCGCCCCCAGACCCCGCCCCCAGACCCCGCCCCCAGACCCCGCCCCCAGACCCCGCCCCCAGACCCCGCCCCCAGACCCCGCTCCCAGACCCGCCCCCAGACCCCGCCCCCAGACCTCATCCCAGACCCGCCCCCAGGCCCGCCCCCAGACCCTGCCCCCAGACCCCGCCCCCAGACCCCGCCCCCAGACCCCGCCCCCAGACCCCGCTCCCAGACCCCGCCCCCAGACCCGCCCCCAGGCCCCGCCCCCAGACCTCGCCCCCAGACCCGCCCCCAGACCCCGCCCCCAGACCCGCCCCCAGACCCCGCCCCCAGACCTCATCCCAGACCCGCCCCCAGACCCCACCCCCAGACCCCGCCCCAGACCCCGCCCCCAGACCCTGCCCCCAGACCTCATCCCAGACCCACCCCCAGACCCCACCCCCAGACCCCGCCCCCAGACCCCGCCCCCAGACCCCGCCCCCAGACCTCGCCCCCAGACCCGCCCCCAGACCCCGCCCCAGACCCCGCCCCCAGACCCCGCCCCCAGACCCCACCCCCAGACCTCATCCCAGACCCGCCCCCAGACCCCACCCCCAGACCCCGCCCCAGACCCCGCCCCCAGACCCCGCCCCCTGACCTCATCCCAGACCCACCCCCAGACCCCACCCCCAGACCCCGCCCCCAGACCCGCCCCCAGACCCCGCCCCCAGACCTCGCCCCCAGACCCGCCCCCAGACCCCACCCCCAGACCTCATCCCAGACCCGCCCCCAGACCCCACCCCCAGACCCAGCCCGCCTCCCCAGCTTGGCAGGTGGCTGGACTCCCAGGGGTCAGCCCAGCTCACCGCCGGCCCCCGAGCCACTTGCCAGTCGGGTTTGGGGGGGGCGTGGTGCCCAGTATCTCAGACCATCGCTGCGACTCAGCCACAGAAGGCTGCGTCCAGGTCCCTAACTAGCCTGGCCAGGGACACAGCTGGCGCTCCTGGGTGTGGTGCCCCAGCCGCAGGCCAGCCTGGACTGGCAGCCTTCCCAGTGGCCCTGACCACGGGTGACGTGGCTGGGCCAAGGGCACTGGTACCAGGGCTACGCTGCCCTGAGCGGCCTGTGTCCTCTCTGGGCTGGTGAGGGGGGGAGGAGGGGGGAGGGAAGAGGGAAGGCTGTCCACTGGAGCTGGCCTTTGCTGCCCGGTGGTGTGGAGGTGGAGCTTGTAGGTGCTAGGGAAAGGAGCAGAAGGAAATGGCTGTTGTGCAGGCACCTGAGCCCGGGCTCAGTCCTGCACCCCTGCCTCCCCCATCCCCCGCCAGGCTCAGCCCTGCCCCCCTGCCCCCCCCGCCCCGCGCTGGGCTCAGCCCTGCCCCCCTGCCCCCCCCCCGCCTGCCCCGAGCTGGGCTCAGCCCTGCACCCCTGCCCCCCCCTCCCCCGCCCTGCGCTGGGCTCAGCCCTGCACCCCTGCCCCCCTACCCCCCCCCCCCTGTCTGCCCCGCACCGGGCTCAGCCCTTAATACCCTTAACACCCACGTGGCCCTGCCCAGCGCCGCCGAAGGCCTGCGAGGAGCTGGACGGGGAGCCCGGCGTCAGGAAGAAGGCGGAAGAGCCGGGGGACAGCTACCACGTGCACGCCCGCCACCTCCTCTACCCCAGCTCCCCGGTCTCCCGCTTCCCGGTGCCCAATGAGAAGGTGCCGTGGGAGGTGAGCGCCAGCCCCCTGCGCCGGGAGGGGGGGGGCATCCGCCCAGCCCTGCGCCCTCATGGCAGCCTTTGCCTGCTGCGGGGCCTCGCCGGCCTAGTGTCGGGTGGCCTTTGCTGGACAGATAGGAAACCGAGGTACATGGTCGGTCACATGGTCCACACAGCTGGACAGATGGAGGCCCGGTAGATGCTGTCACCCGCTCGACCTCCCCCTCCCGGCCCCCATCCTGCGTGAGCAGCTGCCCCCTCCCCCGTGCCAGCCACGGGGACACAGTGGCAGCGAGATGGAGGATGACCTGGAGAAGGATACCCTGACACCCTCTCCTGGCCCTTCTGGAACATTCTCCCTCTCTGTACTGCTTGGAGTCTCCTGACCCCTAGGGTCCCCCCTAGCTCCAGTCCCTCCCTGTGAGGTCCAGCCCCTCCGCCCTGGTCTGTGTGGGGCCCTTCCCGGGGCTGCCCGTGCGTGCCGGGGCTCTGTCCCCGTGAGACCCTCAGAACCCCCCCCACCCCGCCATAGACAGAGTTCTTGATCTACCAACCCACCCCCCCCCCCGCCACAGACGGAGTTCCCGATCTACCACCCTCCTTTCCACACGGCTGAGAAGAAGGACGTGGCCCTCGTGGACCCTGTGGGAGAGTGAGTGGCCCTCCCTGCCCCTCACAGACGTCTGCGTCCACCTGGCTTTGCAGATGACCAGTGACCCCCGCCCCGCCCAGGCCGCGGCACAGCTGTGGAAGCTGAGCGAAGGCCCTGGGTTGCCATCGTGGGCCGTGGACGGAGGCCGAGCCGTGGCTGCCTGGTCTCTCCCCGCTGCATCTCCGTTCTCAGGAATGTGCTTTCTCGTTTACTCCAGCGCCCCAGAACCTCTGACCAGGATCCGCTACAATGCCCTGGACGGGCTGACGGACCGCCGCAGCTTCCACGGGGCCTATGCGGTCCAGGAGGGGCTCCCGCGGTGAGTGTCCGTGCCCCTCCTGCCAGCGCGGGCCGCGCTCCCGGCAGGGCCCTCTCTGGGCCGGGGAAGGACAGGGCCCTGGGGCGTGGGCCCTGGGGACGGCGTGGGGACTGCGGCGTGTTGCCGGGGCTCACGTGGAAGGAGAGTTCATCTGAGATCTCACCCCACACACAGGTGAGGCCCCGCTCCAAGCGGCCAGACACCCCGTGAAACCCTGCCAGGCACGGGTCTGGGACGTGGACGGTGGGGGAACGGAGGGGCCTGAAGGGAGAGGCAGGGGTGGGTTTGGAGGGGAACATTCTGGAACAGAGGGGTTTTCTGTGCCTGCAGCCAGAGCTTGTGTAAGGCGGAAGTAGGGGACAAGGAGACATGAGCAGGCTGTGACTGAGGGGCAGGGTCGCAGGATGGGGAGAGGGGTGCTTGGGTTGTGGGCAAGGAGAGCAGGCCCCCGAGCAGTAATGGCCGCAGCCCAGGGCCTGACATGGCTGTGCGGAAGCAGCTGTGAGGATAGCTTGCCGGGGTGCTGTGGGCTAGGTTGTTCCCAGCTGGCTTGCCAGGGTGCTGTGGGCTAGGTTGTTCCCAGCTGGCTTGCCGGGGTGCTGTGGGCTTGGTTGTTCCCAGCTGGCTTGCCGGGGTGCTGTGGGCTAGGTTGTTCCCCGCTGGTTCACTTGGCTGTGGTGACAGAGCAGGTGATTGAGAACAGAGGTTTACAGCCGGGCGCTGGTGGCTCACGCCTGTAATCCTAGCTACGCAGGAGGCTGAGATCTGAGGATCGTGGTTCAAAGCCAGCCCGGGCAGAAGAGACCGTGAGACTCTTACCTCCAATAAACCACCAGAAAACCAGAAGTGGCGCTGTGGCTCAAGTGGTAGAGCGCTCGCCTTGAGCTGAAGAGCTGAGGGACGGCGCCCAGGCCCAGAGTTCAAGCCCCACGACCAACAACCACAAAAGAGGCTCCTAGTTGAGGCTCCAGGCCAGGGCTGTGTGCGTCGGCCGGCTGTGGAGGCCGAGGCTGGGGAGGCTTTAGTGGCCACAGTGGGGCCAGGCTTTGGTTCCCAAGAGCACCCCTGCCTTGCCAGTGCCCCGTGCTGAATTCACCCCTCAGAGCCCCCGAGTCCTCCTTCCGGTCCAGGCAGCAGTGTGGGAGGGGCTGGCACTTCTGTGTGCCTGGCCCTGTGTCCCCCCCATGCCCACGCCCTGCCCCGCCCTCTCGGACATGCCATGGCTGACCCGACCCCTTCCCACCCAGGAACCCCATGGGACGCACGGGGCTGCGGGGGCGCGGCAGCCTCCGCTGGTTTGGACCCAACCACACGCTGCATCCTGTGGTCACCCGGTGAGCGGGGGACTGGCCAGTCCTGGGGGGCTCCCCGGGAGGGCTCCCGTGTGCCGGGGGGCGGGAGGCGTCCCGTGGATGCATGTGACCCCTGAGGTCCGTGTCCCCTCCTTGGAGCAGCCCAGCTGCCCCGCCTCCCCCGGAGGCCGCCCCACGCCCCGGCTCTACTGGGCACAGCTGGCATCCGGTCCTGCGTGCATTCTTCTGAATGGCCTTTACTTCCCCTTTGCTAACCGAACTCTGAAAAAAAGAAGAAATTTACACTGGGGGACAAGCAAAACCTAAGGAGGAGAAAAAGTTACTGAAACTAAAAAAGAAGTAGACATATCTAATACCACTGTCGGCCAGTGTGCTTCGGAGTTATCCTACAAGGAGTTCACGTGCACACACACACACACACACACACACACACACACACACAGCCCAAATCCACAGTCATGTGTGCATATCCATGTAATACCACACCCAATGGCTTACACCTTCATTCTATCATCTACCATCTATTTACCTACCATCCATCTGTGATCTGTCATCTACCCCCATCATCCATCAGTCATAGCCATCTGCTTACCTATTATTTATCCTTTATCTACCTATCATCTATTATCTGGCAACCAAATCTATCTATCCATCTATCTATCTATCTTCTATCCAACATTTATCTATCAATCTGTCTATCACTTTTCTAAATTCCTTTACCTCAGAAAGACTGGCACTTCAGCCTCTTGGTCATTTTCCCTAGGCTGCTGGGGTCTGGCTAGTCCATAGAGAGGAAGCTGGGTGCGCTGAGGCCGGGAGGGCGTGCCCCCTTGGTAACGGAGCGGGAGGCTTGGCCCCCGCTCGGGTAACAGCCCGGCTGGTGCAGGTGGCGGAGGAACCAGGACGGAGCCATCTGCAGGAAGAGCATCAAGAAGATGCTGGAGGTGCTGGTGGTGAAGCGCCCCGGCTCCGAGCACTGGGCCTTGCCTGGGGTAAGCCGGGGGAGGGCAGCAGGCCCGGCCTCTGCTGTCCCGCCCACCCGTCCACCTGCCGGCTTCCCACCCCTCCCTCCTGTAGTGGCGGGCAGGGCCCAGCCGGCTGTGCTGGCCTGGCTCTCGTTCCCTCCCCCCCCCCCCCCCCCCCGCTTGCTGAGGTTCGGATTCTCCTTGCCTAATGGGCACGGTCATGCGGGGCTGGTGTTCTGTGGGCGTCTGATGGGCCTCACAGAGCCAAAGGCACCGCAGTGATCCGGCGCGGCTGGGCAGGGCCCGCATGGAGAAGACTCGGCCTTTCCTGCCCGAAGGACTCAGAGCCACTCCATCTCCCATGTTCCCGGCCTCTGTCCTCAGGCCTCCTCCTTCCCACGCTCCCGGCCTCTGTCCTCAGGCCTCCTCCTTCCCACGCTCCCGGCCTCTGTCCTCAGGCCTCCTCCTTCCCACGCTCCCGGCCTCTGTCCTCAGGCCTCCTCCTTCCCACGCTCCCGGCCTCTGTCCTCAGGCCTCCCCCTGCAGGGTGGGGAGCCTGGGCTTGGCTCTGGCTGTGGCTGTCCGCCTCTTCCCTGCTCCTGGGGAGCCCGGTCCGCCCCGGCTCCAGGAGAAGCCGGCCACGCCTCTGCCCCCCACCCTGCCCGTGCCCCTGGCCGTGCCGTGGGCCACACGTCCCCGCATGCCACCCTTGTGGCAGCCGGAGCGCAGGCTGGAAGGCCCTGCCCCCCTTGCCCAGGGGCCGCCGGCCCAGCGGGCGATGCCGGCTAGCCGCGGGGCTGGCGTGGCCGGGACCCCCGACTCTGCTGGCCAGGATGGCGAGAGCAGAGGAGCTCACCTCCCTCTTGGGGGACTGAGCTCCAGGCTGGTCCTCAGGGCGACAGGCGCTGCTCCCCACCTTCGCACGCCCTCGCACGCCGCCAGGGTCCCGCGTGCTGGCGTGGACGGGGTTCTGGGCAGCGTCACTGGCCGGGAGAACCGGCTCCACGCTGCCAGACGCGTCCCGCCTCTGCCCCGGGGGCCGGGCAGGCGGCCCGCAGAGAGGGGCCCTGGCACCCGGCCCGCACGCCTCGCCCACCGGCCTTCTCCTGCTCTGCCAGGGCTCCCGGGAGCCAGGGGAGGCGCTTCCCCGGAAGCTGCGGCAAGTGCTCCGGCAGGAGTTCTGGGAGCCCTTCGAGGCGCTGCTGGCACAGGGCGCAGAGGTGCGAGCCCCCCCCCCCCCCCCCGCTCCTTTACAACTTAAAAGGAACTTGTTTTCTTACTGTAAACTTAGAGGTGAAGTTCACAGAACACACGGCCAACCTTTGCTGTGTGTATGTGCCAGTCCTGGGCTTGAGCTCAGGGCCTGGGCGCAGATCCTTAGCTTTTCTTGCTCAAGGTTAGTGCCCTGCTACTTGAACCATGGCTTTACTTCCATCTTTTGGTGTGTCCTTGGAGATGAGAGTCTCACAGACTTTCCTGCCCAGGCTGGCTTTGAACTGTGATCCTCAGATCTCAGCCTCCTGAGTAGCTAGAATGATAGGCGTGAGCCACCATATCCGGCAAAAAACGGGCCTTTTTAAAGTGGTTCCGTGGCACTTGGCACACTCAGAAGGTTCTTCAGTGGCCACCGCCCTCCAGTTCCAAACCCTTCCCGCCCCTAAAGAGCCGCTGCGCCTGGGCGGCCTGGCCCCCGCGTCTCGGGCTGCGTGTCCTGCGCTCCGTTGTGAGGAGGACCCTCACACCGGGCCCTGCTGTCCGCCTTCCTGACAGCAGCAGTGCTTCAGGTCCGTCGCCCGGGGCCTTTCAGGGCCTCTGAGGGCCAGTGCAGCAGGGCAGCCCACCCAGGGCTGCCAGTGGGCTCCGGGGGCCGTGCGCCCAAAGCAGGCCGGTCAAGACGGAAGCCTGTGCTGGGCAGCCCCGCGCGGGCCGGGCAGGGGTGTGGGCTGGACAGAGGATGGGCACAGAGCCAGTCCCAGGAGGCCGCTTCCCCTCGAGCCGACCCCTCGGCGGCTGGCGGCTGGGGCCCAGGCGTGTGAGCAGCCCTGCCTGCTCACCGCTCACCGGGCGCACTCCCCAGGTGTACAAAGGGTATGTGGACGACCCGAGGAACACCGACAACGCCTGGGTTGAGACGGTGGCTGTCAGCATTCACTTCCGGGACCAGAACGACTTGGAACTGAAGAGGCTGAACTCGGTACGGCGTGGGGGTCCTGGGGCTGGGAGGCCGGGGGGTGGGGGGACGAGGCTGGGCTCCGGAGCCGGCTGCTCAGTCCTGGCACCCGGGTCCCTTCTTTGCCCCTGGCTTATACGTGTGTGTGCACATGTGTGTATGTATGTGCATGTGTGCATGTGTGTGTAGTGTGTATGTGTATGTGTATGTATATGTGTGTATGTGTGCATGTGTGTATGTGTGCATGTGTGTATGTGTGCATGTGTATATGTGTATGTGCTATGCGTGTATGTACGTGTATATGCATGCATGTATGTATGTGCAGTGTGTATGTGTATGTGCGTGTATGTGCATGCATGTATGTGTATATGTGTATGTGGTATGTATGTATGTATGTGTGTATGTGTGTGCATATGTGTGCAGTGTGCATGTGTATGTATATGTGTATGTGTGCATGTGTGTATGTGTGCATGTGTATATGTGTATGTGGTCTCTGTGTATGTATGTGTATGTGCGTGCATGTGGTATGTGTGTATGTGTATGTGTGCATGTGTGTTTGTGTGCATGTGTATATGTGTATGTGGTCTCTGTGTATGTATGTGTATGTGCGTGCATGTGGTATGTGTGTATGTGTATGTGTGCATGTGTGTTTATGTGCATGTGTATATGTGTATGTGGTCTGTGTGTATGTGTGTGTATATGTATGTGTGCATGTGTGTATGTGTGCATGTGTGTTTGCGTGCATGTGTATATGCTCTGTGTGTATGTATATGTGCGTGTATGTGGTATGTGTGTATGTGTGCATATGTGTATGTACATGTATGCACACGTATGTACATGTACGTACATGTACGTACATGTATGTGCGTATATGTGTATATGTGTATGTGTGTATGTGTATGCATGTGCCGGCTCCTGGGGCTGTCGTCCGAGGGCCGGGGTTCCGGGCGGGCATGGGACCGGAGCAGTGACGTGTCCCTCTTGGCAGCACCTGCGTGCCCGCGACCCGGAGGTGGCCGTGCGATGGCAGGTGGTGGACAGGCGCACCCCCCTCTACCCGAGCCACAAGTCCATCCTGCAGAAGGCCGCTGCCCTGTTCACAGCCCACTACTGACGCGGCGCGATGCTGGGCCGGCCGGGCGGCTCCATGGGCGGCAAGGCCCAGCCGGACGTGGCCTCCTGCCCGGTGGGCCGGTGGCTGGACGGAACGCAGAGGACACGGGGCGCAAGGAGCCCTGGGCCGGGCGAGGAGCTGCTGCCCTGCCAGGTGTGCGGACTCACTGTCTGAACCGGAACCAACCGGGTGGCCCTCGGGGCGAGGCCAGCCTGCAGCGTGGCTGCCCCCCGCCCCCCGCTGGGTTCCCTTTGGGCTGGTGTCATCCGAGCGGCACCCCCAGAGCTGGCCTGAGATTCGGGGTCCCCTGCAGCCTGGGGCCTGTGCCTGCAAGGACGGGGCGCGGGGAGGGGCCTTGCCCACCAGACGTCACCTCATGCCAAACGTGACCTAGTGTGACTCTCGGCTGGCGGCGCTCACGGTCAGGGCAGGGCCCCGGGGTGGCCACGCCGGGCCTCCTCCCACGGCAGACTCCTGCCCCGTCTGCAGGAGCCCAGAGAGGCCGCGCTCTCCCCCTGCCCTCCTGGGGAAGGCCCTGGCACGGGTGGGCGGGCGGTAGGACTGGTGGTGTGCAGGCCGGGACTCACCGAGGAGCCTCAGACGCCACTGGATGGACGGGAGCCATGCGGGGGCTGGCGACCCGAGTCTTTGAACCCTCCTTACGTCTCAGTCTGCCAACATTTCCACACGTAAAGTCACTGATATGTCCTGTGGCTGGGCTGTGACTCTGTGGTTCCTGTGGTCATTTCCTGTGGGCACCATGGTCCCTCTGACCTTCTTCACTTTCCTAAACCCAGGTTCCAGTGTTGGCCAAGGCCTCCAAGCTGAGGCCTCGCACACGCACATCTCCCCTGGCTCACCCCACATCCCCCCTGCCTCCCCCCACCTCCCATGCCTCCCCCATCTCCCCCACCTCCTCCCCGCGCCTCCTCCCCCCCACCTCCTCCCCCGCCCATCCCCCCACCTCCTCCCCCCCACCTCCCCCCAGCCTCCCCCCATCTCCCCCACCTCCTCCCCGCGCCTCCTCCCCCCACCTCCTCCCCCCGCCTCCCCCAGCCTTCCTCCACCTCCCCCCACCTCCCCTGCCTCCCCCATCTCCCCCACCTCCTCCCTGCACCTCCTCCCCCCACCTCCTCCCCCGCCCATCCCCCCACCTCCTCCCCCCGCCCCCTCCCCCGCCTGTCACCCCTACCTCTCCTCCCCTGCATCCTCCCCCCCGCCTCCCCTGCCTCCCACCCCCCTCGCCTCCCCCATCTCCTATGGCTCCCCCCCCCGCCTCCCCTGCCTCTCCCACCTCCCTCCCCACCTCCCCCCCTACCCGGCCCCCTCAGGACAGCCCCACCCCTGCAGGGGCCTGTGGAGCAGCCAGGTGGGTCCTGAGGATGGGGATGAGGCACATGCCCGATTTCAGTCCAAGCCGTTGGCTGAACCTGCAGCCAGCCCCTCCCACGGAACCATCTGGCATTTGACAACAACCAAGATGAGCAAGGATAGGCTCCAAGTCAGCAAACGGAACTGGTGTTGTGCAACCAGAATGCTCTAGAAAAGGGCAATAAGTCTCCTCAACATTAGGGAAGACGCAGCTGTATAAAATGAAATAAAAATTGTATGAATGAAAAACATAACTGAGAAAGTGACGCTAGGTAGAGCTGGCCGGTGATGGCCGGTGTGGGGAGTGGAGGGCAGTGGAGGGCAGGGCTGGGTGGCCAACAGAGCAGGCGCAGTGGGCTGTGGAGACAGGAAGCCCAGGGAGACAGGGCCGAGTCCGAATGACACAGACGCAGACGGGGCTGGCCCACAGTTCCATGCGCGTGCGCGCGCACACACACACACACGCACCCCGTGTGAACATGTCAGTGCACACGGTCTCACATTCTGTACACGCCCCACGGTTCCACGCACACACACACGCACACACGCACACACCCCGTGTGAACATGTCAGTGCACACGGTCTCACATTCTGTACACGCCCCACGGTTCCACGCACACACACGCACACACACACACCCCGTGTGAACATGTCAGTGCACACGGTCTCACATTCTGTACACGCCCCACGGTTCCACACACACACACATGCACACACGCACACACCCCGTGTGAACATGTCAGTGCACACGGTCTCACATTCTGTACACGCCCCACGGTTCCACGCACACACACGCACACACACACACCCCGTGTGAACATGTCAGTGCACACGGTCTCACATTCTGTACACGCCCCACGGTTCCACACACACACATGCACACACGCACACACCCCGTGTGAACATGTCAGTGCACACGGTCTCACATTCTGTACACGCCCCACGGTTCCACGCACACACACGCACACACACACACCCCGTGTGAACATGTCAGTGCACACGGTCTCACATTCTGTACACGCCCCACGGTTCCGCGCACACACACACACACACGCACACACCCCGTGTGAACATGTCAGTGCACATGGTCTCACATTCTGTACACGCCCCACGGTTCTGCGCACACACACACACGCACACACCCCGTGTGAACATGTCAGTGCACACGGTCTCACATTCTGTACACGGCCCACGGTTCCACGCACACACACGCACACACACACACCCCGTGTGAACATGTCAGTGCACACGGTCTCACATTCTGTACACGCCCCACGGTTCCACACACACACACACGCACACACGCACACACCCCGTGTGAACATGTCAGTGCACACGGTCTCACATTCTGTACACGCCCCACGGTTCCACGCACACACACGCACACACACACACCCCGTGTGAACATGTCAGTGCACACGGTCTCACATTCTGTACACGCCCCACGGTTCCACGCACACACACGCACACACACACACCCCGTGTGAACATGTCAGTGCACACGGTCTCACATTCTGTACACGCCCCACGGTTCCACACACACACACATGCACACACGCACACACCCCGTGTGAACATGTCAGTGCACACGGTCTCACATTCTGTACACGCCCCACGGTTCCACGCACACACACGCACACACACACACCCCGTGTGAACATGTCAGTGCACACGGTCTCACATTCTGTACACGCCCCACGGTTCCGCGCACACACACACACGCACACACCCCGTGTGAACATGTCAGTGCACACGGTCTCACATTCTGTACACGCCCCACGGTTCTGCGCACACACACGCACACACACACACCCCGTGTGAACATGTCAGTGCACACGGTCTCACATTCTGTACACGCCCCACGGTTCCGCGCACACACACACACACGCACACACCCCGTGTGAACATGTCAGTGCACATGGTCTCACATTCTGTACACGCCCCACGGTTCCGCGCACACACACACACACACACGCACACACCCCGTGTGAACATGTCAGTGCACACGGTCTCACATTCTGTACACGGCCCACGGTTCCACGCACACACACGCACACACCCCGTGTGAACATGTCAGTGCACACGGTCTCACATTCTGTACACGCCCCACAGTTCCACGCACACACACACGCACACACGCACACACCCCGTGTGAACATGTCAGTGCACACGGTCTCACATTCTGTACACGCCCCACGGTTCCGCGCACACACACGCACACACCCCGTGTGAACATGTCAGTGCACACGGTCTCACATTCTGTACACGCCCCACGGTTCCACGCACACACACACGCACACACATGCACACACCCCGTGTGAACATGTCAGTGCACACGGTCTCACATTCTGTACACGCCCCACAGTTCCGTGCACACACACGCACACACCCCGTGTGAACATGTCAGTGCACACGGTCTCACATTCTGTACACGCCCCGTGAGTGTGTGACGATAGGTGTGCTCTCGCATCTGCACGCTTAGGCCGCACACCTCCTCCATGACCACAGACGCGTGTGAGCCAGCTCTGCTCCCACCTCCAGCCGCGGGGGCAGAGCTCTGTGGAGCCGGTCGTGGGTCTGTTGCTTCCGCAGTGAGGACTGGAGGCCACCAGGTCTCAGGCCACCAGGGGAGCTGGGCCTGTCCCTGGGGTCCCCAGGCCGCAGCCTGTGTCCTGGCATGGCTGGGCCTGGAGGCGGTCGAGGGGCAGAAATTGCGTGGAGTGCTCCACACCTGCTCCTCCCACCTCCCCCGCCAGGCTGCAGGGGCTCCTGCCCCGTGGGGATGGGGTGGCCGTGGGCCCAGCTCCGGTGCAGACAGTTGGACAGGCCCCTGTCTCCTGGGGGGGGGTCTGGGCCATCATGGGTCTTAGCAGAGGAAGGGAGGGCTTTGAGCCGGGCTCTCTGTGATCCCTAAAACCCACAGCTCCTGACCAAAAGTGAGAGGAGAGAGGGCAGCCCCCCCAGCCCCCAGGAGCGAGGTCCCCCAGCTCCGGCTGTCGCTGGCCAGCCCTGCACAGAGGACACAGAGGACAGCGTGCAGCCCTGGGAAGGCTGGGGCAGCGACCGGGAACGGAGCGTGCTCGTGGCCGGCTGCGGGTCACCCCTCGCCGAGGTCAGCGCGGCTGCAGCGAGCCCAGCCAGGCGGCGCTGACGTCAGAGTTTAATGGAACGCAGAGAAACAAACAGCACGAACCCTGGCGATGGGAAAGCTCTTCGAAGAGCAGTTCGAGGAAGAGCTCACAACCCACCCAGCTTAGACCGCTGGGCACAGGAAGTGGGGCAAGGTCGGGGAACGGGGCGCTGGTTGGCCCCTGAGAAGGTGGGCCGTGGGGGAGGCAGCTCAGCTCCTGGGGGTGGGGGCGGAGGGGAGAGGTCTGCTTGCAAGACAGCAGGCGGCCCCGCCGAGGGCGTGGGCATGGGCCTGCGGGGTGAGGGAGCCCAGGGCGGGTCCTGGTCTCTTTCCTCTCGGTCAGGCCTGCGAGATCGGGCAGACACCCGGCAGTTCAGAGACCCAGGGACCCAGGAGTGCAGGCAAGGCTCAGCCTGGCCACAGTTGCTGAGAAACATTTGCCAATGCAGTAGCAGATGGGCCTGGCACAGGCCACTCAAGGAGCACGAGGAAGGGTTTGTGCTTTAAAACCCTGCAGGCTTAAAGATGAGGGAAAGGCCTTCCAGCCCACAGTAGGCCAACGGAAAGTTCCAGTCATTCTTTAACCTGCCCTGGCTAGCTTCCAGGCCCTGTTGACTTCTCTAGCCGCTCTCATTATGGTTGATCTCCAACCCCAGCCACGGTTACAAAGCCTTGCTCCTGCCGCCGGCTGCATCCGGGAGGTTCCGCGTGCTGTCACCTCCGCTAGCCATGGCACCACGCTCACGCAGGTGTCTGTCAGCGTCTGGGTCCCAGGCTAGGAACTTAATCTCAGCACGATCTCAACTCTCGCTGGGCGCCGGTGGCTCACGCCTGTAATCCTAGAGACTCAGGAGGCTGAGATCTGACAACTGCAGTTCCAAGTCAGGCAGAAAAGTGAGAGACTCAAGGGGCTGGGGAGGTGGCTCAGTGGTAGAGCGCTCGCCTTGCATGCATGAGGCCCTGGGTTCGATTCCTCAGCACCACATAAGCAAAAATAAAAAGCCGGACGTGGTGCTGTGGCTCAAGTGGTAGAGTGCAAGCCTTGAGCTGAAGAGCTGAGGGACAGTGCCCAGGCCCAGAGTTCAGGCCCCACGACCGGACCCCCCCCCAAAAAAAAAAAAAAAGAAAAGTGAGACTCTTATCTCCAGTTAACCAACAAAAATGATAGATAGGAGGTGTGGCTCAAGTGGTAGAATGCTAGTTGTGAGCCCCAAAAGCCCTGAGGTCAAGCCCCAGTTTGTGTGTGTGTGAGTGTGTGTGTGTTTTGTTGGTCCTGGGGCTTGAGCTCTGGGCCTGGGCGCTGTCCCTCAGCTCTTCAGCTCAAGGCAAGCGCTCCACCACTGAGCCACAGCACCACTTCCAGTT